AGCGAGCGGACTCTTTTGGGCTGAATATGGGACCTTGTCACGATTCTGTGAAACATTCATGAGTTACCCTCGCCTCAACCCCATTCAACGGTAGTAACGGTGACAGCAGCAGTAAGGGAAGCATGGTCCGCGCCTGCAAATCAAAGAATATGAAGTTGCCTAGATTGTCCAGTTATGCCATTCGCTGGCTAAGCGACAGCGATCAGAATAGATGTATGGCAGCATCGTACTTGTAGAATATGTCTAAAGAGATTACACATATCGGTACCTTGTCTATGGCGACAAGTGCTAGTACGGGACATACTGTCTGGAATGATTTTGTTGCATAACTGAATACAAGCGGCTATCGGCGAAGTAGAAATAGAAATTGCCGAATGAGCTCCTGCTAAATCTATTTATGTACAGTTGGCTGGTTCCAACTAGCCGTCTTCGTGGCATCTGCTCTACTGTCGGGAAAATTGGAAGGCACTACCGTATCTTTTTTTAGCGCCCTTCGATGCGAACTCATCGTTTCCGGCAGGGCAGTAATCCTTCCTCTCAGAATAACGCCGTCAACCGGTATTGTGCTTGATTATGTTGTTGTATGAAGGCAATGTGCTACGCAACCCATAACCCAGGTGAAGGCGAGGATTGCTGGGCGTTCGGTGCCGTGAGATTCAACTGATAGGCGAGAGGCAATGTGCGTGGTGAAATCGAAAAGCTTTGCAAACTCTACTTGAAAGGTAATGTCAGCTTGAATGAATGTTTCATAGCTCCTTTTCCTTCGTTCGATTTCATCTTAGCTTAACGATCTCCGATGACAGGGGCTTAGAAGGGGATCGTGCACGAGCGTTATAGACAGTGCTACGCGGGCTTCAGCGTGAATCTATTGAAACAGGCTGAAGATCGGGTCAGATCGGCGATCGAAGCAAACAGCTTCCTGTAGAGCCTAGGAGGTCTTGTCCCTAGGCGCGTCGCGCCTGTCTCGCCAGCTTCAGGTAGCAAGACGCTCTACCTCCCAGGTAAAAGAAAGATGGCATTTCGTAGCTTTCCCAACTTATCTAAGCTTCTCCTTCTTTCTCCTTTGTGTGCCTCACTGCACCCCTCAGCCCAATCTCAAAAGAGCACAAGAAAACTAGCGTGGTCTTACATCCGCCCATGTCCATGCGTTCGTCACCACCAAGCAGACCTAGCCCCGATATTCAATTCACGCCCTACTATCGCCAAAGGTGAACGGGACCCAGACAAGCAGGCCGCTACTGTAAAAACCGCGTGATTTATTATTAGTCTTTGATAATCTCTTTTGCTCTGGCCCCTCCTTATCATTGTTCATCTTTTGCTTATGTACCTTATAGAAAACACAGACACGCTCATGCATAAGAGCTTGTTTCCCGCATTCTTGTCATTAGCTTTTACCCCTGACAAACGCGAACAACTATTATTTTAATGAAAATCACCAGAAAAGTAACAGTTCGAACAATTAGTTTTTAGTGCTACTGCTGTTGCTGCTATTGTAACTGTGTATTACTGATGCACGCGGCGCGACTCAATCTTCAGATCCGGGCCTAGTTCACCCATACAATACTCAGCACTTCCGTCGTTCTGCCTCAGATTAATGGCAAGCTACTGGATAACTACAATCCATTCATAGGGAAGTGACTATAGGCAAACCGGCAATATTACCTATTTTTTTGCCTTCCCTCGAAGCATCAGCGGCGGCTGGGTTGGACCAAACCTAGTTTCTTTGTTTGGTTCTTTTTTCGTTTTTGGCTCTCGCAGTTGTAGAAAGAGCGCTGCAGAGAACGAGGCCAGTCGGGAACGGAGCAACGTACAAAAAATGGATCGAACTCATAAATCACGTACGTTTTGTAGTCCTTGTTGGTTTGCGATCGCAGTTACAAACAAGGGAACAAGAAGCAAATCTTCACCTTTCGGTAAAAACGACGCCCAATCCTAAGCTTCTGAACAGCAGGACAGCCATCGCATCTTTGATCTATCCCCTTCTACACTCAGACTGTTTCAGGACTCATCGAACGTGCCTGTGCTTGGGTAACTGATGAAAAAGTGAGAGGAAGGGAGGGAGGGCTGCCCAAATACTAAATGCGACCACCAATCTAAATGCTTGCTAGGACCGGATACCGGTGGCGAGCCTGCCTTCGCTGCCTGCCGGTTGTTCGCTATGGTAATTACAGGTAATCATAAACAATAGCCAGCCAACTAATCCACCCATAATAATAATGATAACAATAATAATTAAAGGCCCGGCCGATGAACGCAAGTTACGATGGGCGCGAATGAGTAAAGGAGACGAGTAGGTTGAGAGTCCGGTTGTTGAGTGGAAATGCGTACACTAAAGTAAGTTGCCGGCAACTTTGATGTCTTGGATTGAAATACAACAAGAGGGAAACAGAACGAGAACAAACTAGGAATATTATAGTGAGCAGCAACGGATATAGAAATGAAATAAATATATGGTATGGTCGTATAATTCGAAAAAGCCAAAGACGTCAAAGGGTGGTGTAGTGAAAATACTGCAATCAGGAATGGACAAAAAGAAAAAAGACCATCTTCTGCCGAAAATTAAGTTGCAAGCTAACTATATAGCTAGAAATAGATGGACTAACACAGTAAATACAACTGCAAAGGATAAGGACGGGTCCGTTCGCATAAACAGAAAAACGTGACTACGACCATGCCGATACGTCACGGTAATTAAGGTTACACGTTATACCCCAAATATTTTGCCAAAGTATTGATAAGGTAGTCTATAAGAACTGAAACATTCACGAAACAGACGGATTTCATAAGAGTACATGATACTTTTAGACAATTGAAAGACAACTCGGTTATGGTCAAAGAATATATTGTTAGAATGTAACACTATTAGCATTTCTACCTACGTGCTTTGTTTTTTTTTGACTACAGATTGCGAGAAAAATAAACCTAAACAACAGCCTAAGTCAACATTGCTTCTCAACTATTCCAATTCAGAATTTACTTTGAATTCCCAAAGCGACGGGTAAAATTAAGTAGTGCCCGCGGATAAGAACAATGAAAAAGTTCGTTTCGGAAGATTTGGAAAAGTTTATACCATTCTATAGAGTAAATTAAAAGTACTAAAAGTAAGCCAGGAACCGCATTGAAAAGGACTACTTGTAAAACTATAAAAAAAGGTTGATTAAGTGGACCTTTAGGACAAACCTCCATACAAAATATCACAGCGAGACATCATATAACAAACACGAATCTCGCTTGCTTCCAGAGTAGAATATAACGCTTAAAAAATAAGTATAAAGAGAAAGCATCAAATCGAACGTTGATTACGATGGCAAACTGCAGAACGGTGAGCAAAGCAAACGTCCGTAATTTCAAAGTAGCTATATTTATGAGTAAATCAAATCTAGTTATTATCAGAATCCGTTCGGTACTGTCCTACGAGGTACAACAGAACCCTAAATCTTCACCCCCAAATCCGCCAGTTTCATCGTTAAGACAAAAATGAATTTTTCTTAAAAATAGCAATCCGATTGGACCGATCACCGACCTGCGAAGCGGCGAAAATGAATTAAAAAAGAAAAAAGAAACGTCTCCGGTTAAAAATATGTTTCATTTCAACAACTGCACTTCTAGCACCGGAAGATCGAACTGAATCGCTCCGAAGATATTTGTTTGAAGATAGTGGAGAAGTCACACGTGTTCTTCATACTGGACAATCCGGAAGATTTCCTTAATTGACACAGTTTGTGTTTGGCTTAAAAAAGATGCCAGCCAGATTTTAAAAGCATGCCTTGATGAATAAACTAGTCACTGTTTATTGAATTCTGCCTTATACCTAGATGACAAAAATGTTATAGGGGAAATGCTACTTCTGTATCCGGAAACGAGTCACCGGCAATGTGCATTGCAATGGATTTACGTAACTATTTTAGGTAGTTAAATTTCTTTTAATACATGTAAAAACATGCGACGTATCGTTTGAAACGTACCGTACAGCTGATTTTGCACGCCATCATTTCGATGGTATAGAAGTATCATTATAAATGTTAATGCATAGTATGGTAGTTCTCAGTTAGCTATAGAGAACCCGACCTGATTTTAAAGGATCACTTCTTGCGCTATTATCCGAGGTACGCAATCAAGGCCCCGCCATTAACGCAGATTGAAACGAAGCCTGAGGAGCTGTTCACATTATAGTAGTTAACAATATCGTGAAGTACACCACGATTTGTGACTATTCATGGCAAAATCAGGCTGTCATTTGAATTTCGTTCGATCAGATTAATGAGAGACACGACTGCAACAGCGAGTGAGGTAGGGGAGTCGTCCAGACAATCCTAAAAGAGATGACACATTAAAGAAAACCCTAAAAAGCTAGGACAAGCCAGTTCATGAAGAAATGCCCTAGGTGTTATATCCAGTGTGTCCTATAACCATTTCCTTAATATTATTCAGGTAGGTTATAAGTAACAAAATATTTACGTTTATCTAATAATAATTTAGCTAATAAAGGAACGTCTAACAATAAACAATGGTTGAGCAATAGACATGACAGAAATTATCAGAATGTGTTTTTACTGAGCGCTTTATCTACGAGTTCTTCTTTAACCGAAATTGTTCTCTCAAGTAGACTTTAACTGCTTGAAATTTCCAGGCTGCCCGCACGAGATTCGAAAACGGCCTACTAAAAAATTCCACAAAGATCAGACGCCAGCAACACGACGAAGAAACGCGACGGTCGCTGGAGTCATCGCTCCATGACGCTTCTTCCTTCGCCTCGACTCGTTCAGCTGTCGTTCTCTCTCTCGCCGCCTCGGAATCGGAGCCTACCGAAGTTGCTCCCAACTACTCATTCTCCATATGCAGAGAGCGCAGTACCTCCATCCACTCCAGCTCCACTATCAAAGGCAATGCTACCGGCACAAGCACGACACTGGATGCAGCGCCCCCTAGACGCCCTCGCGCTCCAGCGGCGGGGGGGGGGGGGGGTCAGGCCGGGAGGCCATAGCCAAAACACTCCCGTCTCGGCCTTCAGTCCGAGAGACCGGGCCGAACTGAATGCCGGCTGTATGGCTGCCAACACGACGCTCGTCGTAGCTGCGGCCATCCTGCTGGCCACAGCCGTCTACCTAAATACTCTGCCAGCAGATTTTGCCTACGATGACAACCGTGCAATCGTATCGAACCAAGACGTCCGACCAACGGAGCCTCTGCGGAACGTGTTTACTAACGATTTCTGGGGCACGCCACTGCGTCATTCCGGATCGCACAAGTCGTATCGGCCACTGTGTGTGTTATCCTTCCGGCTAAACTACCTCCTCAGTGGAATGGACCCCCGAAGCTATCATCTGTTAAACGTGCTACTTCACGCTATGGTAGCGGCATTATTCGCGTGGCTGGCTGGAACCCTGTTCGCCTGGGAAGAAGTGCCGACGTTCCTGGCGAGCATCATGTTCGCTTCACATCCGGTCCACACGGAGGCAGTAGCAGGCGTCGTGGGACGTGCGGATGTGGGCGCCTGCGCTTTTTTTCTTGTTGCGCTCTTCTCGTATATGAAATATTGTGAAAGTCGCGACGATTCCGTCAGCGTCGAGTCAAAACAGCATAAAAAGACCTATCTCCGAACGACGCTCGGCCTGACAATGGCAAGCATGCTAACAAAAGAACACGGTATCACCGTTTTATCGGTGTGTGCAGTGTACGATCTACTCGTGGCGCAACGTTGTAACCTAACGGATATCGTGAACCTCCTACGGAATAAGCGGAAAAAAGGATTACACCTTGAGGGGATAGTGAATTTGGCTTGTACCGCTATGGTACTTCTAGCGCTTCGTGTTTACCTCATGGGATTGTCGCCGCCAGCGTTCTCCAGCTCAGACAATCCGGCAGCCGATGATAAGTCATTGTTGACTCGCACGTTGACGTTCCTATATTTACCAGTGGTCAATCTTCAGCTGTTGTGCTATCCGAAATGGCTGTGTTTTGATTGGTCAATGGGCTCCATCCCGCTAATTCGCTCCTTCCAAGATCCGCGCAATATGCTGTCGCTTTTCCTCTACGCGGTGCTTACGTTCATCACGAGCCGGCTCTTGCGTGCAGTGAACGCCCGCGCCGACATCACGTGTAACGTGAATAACAACAACGAGCCATGTCAATGTGAAACGAATGTTCGGATTGACGCTAGCGTACTGGGTATGGCGATGTTGGTACTGCCGTATCTGCCTGCATCAAATCTGTTCTTCTACGTGGGCTTCGTTGTCGCCGAACGTGTTCTTTATATTCCGTCAATGGGCTATTGCATTCTGATCGCTATCGGCGCGGATTACCTGTACAAGAATATGCCCAATATCAAATACATTTGGATAGGTACACTTGCGTTGCTCGTGATCAGTTATATGGCACGAACCATGCAACGCAATGAAAACTGGCTCAATGAAGAAAGTTTATATCGCTCCGGAATTACGGTTAACCCCCCTAAGTCCTACGGCAATCTGGGAAACATTCTCAGCCAAGCGGGACGGAAAAGTGAAGCCGAGCAGGCATATCGCAAGGCGCTACAGTATCGTCCAAATATGGCAGATGTTCACTATAATCTTGGCCTACTCATGCACGAACAGGGTCGGTATGATGAGGCTCTTGAAAGCTACCAATTGGCAGTCCAATATCGACCCACACTTGCTCTAGCCCATTTGAACATTGGTTTAATTCTCGTCATTCTTGGACGGAAATACGAAGCTGAAACCGTTTTTAAACATACTGCCGGCATTGATGGTACCGGTTTGAAAGATCCGAAACTTCACGAGGCAACCAAGACTTCTGCACTGTACAACCTGGGTAAACTGTACGCCGACGACGGCAAGCATCGTCTGGCCTTGAAAGTATTTGAACGTGCTGTTACCACGATGCCCCGCTCATACCAACCTCAATCGCTCTATAATATGATTGGCGAGACTTATGCCCGTATGGAGAATTTTTCCGAAGCAGAAAAGTGGTACCTGGAAGCCCTCAAAGTCAAGCCTGACCATGTACCCGCGCTATTAACGTACGCCAAACTTCTGGCCCGTGTTAATAAGTCTGCCGACGCAGAAAAGCACTTTAAGCGAGCGATCGAAATCCGGCCGGGTGACACCGCCTCGTATCGTCATTACGGCCAGTTTCTTCAAGACCACAAGCGGTACCGTGACGCAGCCAACGTGATTCTTAAGGCAGCCCGCCTAGTTTCGTACGATTTTGAGACGGTGTTCGCGGCCGCGAGCGCCCTCCGTGAGGCGGGCCGCAATCAAGAGGCGGAGTCTCTGTACAGAAAGGCCGCCCAACTCCGGCCTCGCGACCACGTCGCCCATCTCAATCTTGGCGCCATGCTTCACGTCAACGGCAAGTTGGCCGAGGCCGAATCTGCCTATCTGGCCGCGTTGGACATACGGCCAGGTGATGGCCAGACCACCAGCAATCTGGCCAAACTGAAACATTTGCTCAATAAACAATAAAAATCACATCGAAATCAAAATCAGAGTCGCCGACCTAAAGTTCACAAAGATAGTGTAGAGGATTTGGAACGTCAAACACAACGGCAAAAACGGCAGAAGCGACAACGACGGCGACAGGCCAATCGGTGAATCGGGAGCAGGTGACTTCAGCGGACCTTTCGAGCCTGCGCATGAATAATAACGACTACAAGAGACATTCGTAAAAATCGACAGAGCTATTTAACTCGAAGGGTATTTCTTGATTAGACGACGTTCATGCGATGGCCGCGAGAACGAACGTGGGGAACGGAAAGTTTTTGTACAGTAACTACCGGTGATACGTGGCTAGCAAATAGTCCACAGAATCGAAAGGAAGATGTCGGTACCGTACTATTAAGACTGGCATGAACTCCTTCTCATCAGATCCCTTCGAAGAAGACTAGTAAATCTGCGATGTACAACTGGTGGAAAACTCGTTGAACGGTATTGGTGGGCGGTGCTACTTGTTCAAAAAAAACTTGTTCTCTCGGTAAAAGAATCTTGTTTACGTGAATTCATCATCGTAACGTATACTTCGATCCGTGAAATATCACTTCCGTTCTAGACATGACTATAACCACTAATATTTTTATGAAATTTTTCAGTTTTGCAAGAAAGACTTAGAAAAACAAGACACCTGGGAGCCGAAACTCGCGAATGAATCACGCCCAAAATGGATAACACCGATGGAAGGCGTCGGTTGTTACGATAGGGACAATATGTGCAAGAAATGTATATATTAACTGTAAATAAATTTAATATACATGCCGAAGATTACGATGAGCTTTCTGTGTTGTTATTTCAGAACATGCAAGCATATACTTGATTTAGTATATTCCGAGGTCATATCTGGCTTTCGGTCGTCTTTAATGGAGCTAAATACTGCTACTGAACAGACTAAAATCTTTAAAAAAATGACCAACGTCTTTCCCCAGTTGTCCTTGGTTCATTTCTGCATGTATTTAGACAGATTGGCGTTTAGACTTGACAAAATGTTAGACCATCCAGTTCTGACCCTGAAGATAACCCTGACATTTCCAAATAAGCCATTCGGCCCACTGCTTTGAGGAAAGCTGAATAAACTAGGCTGCCAAACGAAATGGTGTAAACGAGAATGAGATAAAAAATTTACCTAGGCGAGCGACGTGAGTAGTTCTTCAAGCTTCACCTTTAGTATTAAAGTGCAAACAATTTATTTGTACAGCTGCTGGTTTATAACACATATTAAGGTCGCAGGCAACGTTTCACTTGCAAGGATGCCAGGTCAATTCTCTGCCGGGTTCCCATATAGCTTCGAACGCTTCATTTACGTATTTTCAAGGCCCTAGACATATGTTAGTCGTCGAATCTGCCGGTAATTAAATAAAAATTTCACCTGTTAGTTGAAAATTCTGGAAAAACAAAGCCTATTTCTATCACAGCCGACAAAATAAGATCCTCTTGTTCTAGCACGTGTCAAGAATGGTATAAAGTTCTAATATGTGTTCCAATATGGATATGTGATCCAAAAAAAGATAAGGTCACTTGCTACAATACAAAGTAAAACAGTAACATTATTGCACGACACAATCTCCGGTTAGCCCATCCGGGCAAAGAAGGCGCCGATTGGACTGAGCGACATCATGCTTTTAGACTTTCTTTGAAGACGGAAATTTATATAAACGAGCCAACGACCATGCGAACTTTGTAAGAGGAAATCGGGTCTGAAATTTAGTCATAGTGATGCCAATTGGTGATTGAAAATATCGTAGTATTGGGCTTCACCAGATAACTCGTCCCATATTTAACGCTCACACGTCCACTTCAAATCAAAATTCTAATACTGAAATAGAATTTTTTCTTCAGAATTTTAATATTGTGCCCTTGTTGGGATACCCGACACATAATGCCACTTATCAAGTTTTTAATATAGCTTTATTATGTCAAAAAGGGATTCATAATAGTAGAGGCGGTATGTGACGGTACGGCAAAAGGTTATTTATCTTTAGTGAGTAAAGCAGTGTACATAAAGTTGGCAGGGGCATTGTTCTTGTGCAGACATCTGGACACTTCCATGCATCGAGCTATTACCTTTACGAAACTTTGGTTCTGCCAATTACTTCGTCCAATATTTAAAAATGTTTCACTCTTTAGATGCTGGCAAGGCTAAAGCGATACGTCGTTCCCTTCGAGTGCACAACACCGGTAGAGTCTTTCAGAAGACTATTTAAAACTTAGTCTATTAGTTGTACGACGGCAGAAAGAAGCATTACACTATCAATCACGCTCGTACTAACAAATGAATACTCCATTTTTTAAAATGGCGCATTTATCATCTGACAGAAACATGCCGTTATCATGGCACCAACAAAAAATATAGTCCACGACTGCAACGCTTCATAGGAGCGTTCATTCGATTCACAAAAGACTGTCAACGTGTCCGAAGGTCCTTTAGCAACTATCGGTTAATGTCTAGAGCCGATATAGCATATCAGAGTGGTAAGATACAACTTTTCTACGGGGACATCAGAAATAGGTGGCTAAGACTGGCTTACATTACTATCGACTTTAAAACTACTATAAACGACTATAAAAATGGAACGATGTTTGTTTTCTAGCAACCCATTATGATCTACTCTATAAACCGCACTTTTCTGGTCAAAATATATGCGCTGTCTACGGTACATAATCTTGACACGTTTCTAAGAGTTGCGTGTAAGTATAGCAGTATGGAATAAAACCGTGGTGTGCTGGATGTAAAAAAAAGTCAATAATTTTTCCTCTGAATAAATCACCGATTTTTATTCAAAAACTTTACAGCCTAGGCCATCGATTCTCGAAATTGGTTTGCCGAAATAACTCAAGTTCGGTAGCATCAGCATACGACCTACCAAATATTGAATAAAAAAGGCCTTTTTTATGAAAAAAAAAATGGCGAATCGTTTCAAGAGTACAATTATTATAAAATGTAGCTTCAGGCATCTTAACACATCCAAAATTACAGATGTGCAGATTTACTACTACGTCCAGAGGAAGCTGCAAGAGGAAGAAATGCCGGCCTCTTAAAAAAGGTACTCGATAAGAAAGTTTGCAGCGCGATCTGACCGTTCTAAAATCGCTAAATAGGCACCACGTCTTAAACAGCCTGAGAATGAACGGCCATGTTTGAAATTGAAGTTTCGATTTAGTTAACACCCTCTTTTTACAATTTCTAGGACAAGGTGTAGATATTGGTGGATCAAAATGCGTTTCATCCTTAATAAATGCAATTTGGGACTGAATTTTGCGAATATAAGCGTCTGGATCGATGGGTTGGGTAAAACTTTGAACAGAAAAATAAAATCATACTTTACTTTCGTACAGTCGCTAATATCTGTTAACAGGGTTGCGAGCAGCAATTCTGTCTCAGTTAATCTTCTTATCAATCTACCTGTCCATGTTCATCAAAAAATAAACATTATGTACTCTATAAGCGTTGGAAGATATAGCCTTATGATATGTTTCAATGGGAGAAGAACGCGGGATTGTATCAACTAACTGAATCAGTGTAAGAAACCAAAAATAGGTTCATGCTCAAGTTTGAACACATAAAATAAGTTCAAACGGGTCGTTATTATAACCGCGGTTTACAAATACGTATTGCTTCGTCATGTGGAACAGCGGTTGCCCGGTCTACGTTGGGTAAATGAAAATTACCATGAACTACTATAACTTAGAAAATTAAATACATCTTTACTATTGCAAATTTAACCATTTCTTAGATGAGCTAGGTAAATTGATGTTCTGGAAGATCCAACTCTATTGAAATCACTTCATTTTTACGGCACATCAACATAACCCATTTTATGAATCCTATTCAAGGCATAATAATGCCAAATTCAAGTTTAGGTTTGTGTTAGTTTTTGCGGACCAAAGGTCATGCTACGCACTCTAGATCATTGAGTTAAAACACGGGTATCACATCGCAGACATAGTTCAGCAGCAAATGTAAAAGCTAAATATATTTGTGTTACCTACAAAGGCCCACATGCAAAACATCCTTGCAGGAGCGATTTCTTTTTTTGTTCTGACGTTATTAAAATATACACCTATGAACAACCAATAGCAATGACTTAGACATTGTCTATTTCTTTCTCAATACCAGTATAAACCAATACTAGTAAGTGTTTTTCCCAAACAAGGCAGAAATTTTCCCTTTTTCGATCTAAATCAACCAACAAAAAACTACAGCAGAGGATATTGAGGGTCGACGTTTTCAGGCACCTCATTTTCAACGTTTCGTGCGGTCGTCATGTCGTCGAACACTCCTCCTCCTGTTTTCATACAATATCGTGAAAAGCTAATGAATACGTATAACTAACTACTTTCAATTAAAAAGAGAAAATAAACGTATTCTCTCTAATAGTAGTTCACCTACGTCAAATTATTGAACTGACTAACCGTGTCCCGCGGTAACCTACGAAACGTGGATATCCTTTATTGCTAATTTTCATCCTACATACAGGTATTTGTATTGTCCTGCAGGCGTCCTGCGTACTCCTATACAAATACAAATCTAACTATTTCCAAAGCTTTCCAAAATTCCAGCAGCAAAAATAACTGTAGCAATTGATATCAAATTTAAAGCCAAGACTATCTATTGTGTTTAAACTAGTTTGCCCTAAAGAAAAGTCTATTTACAATTCCAATAAACTTTCTCTGATGTTGTTGTATATATAACATTCACCAATAGTACAAATACAGTTACCGGATAATTTGCCACACGCGGAGTAAATGAAAACGAAAAATTTCAACATCGAATTAAAGCCACTCGTTGTCTTGAAATCATTATAAACTGACTGGGATTCAATAGCAGAACTTGCAATTACTAATCGCACAACTACGTAGAGATAGGTTTTCATCCTTGCAGAGTCGATCTGATCACTTACCTGTCCTCAACTTAATATCGCAAAGTACTTTTTCCTAAATCATAAACCATAATTAAATGTATATGTATAACTGAGTACGCGAAAAAAATTTTAACGGCCCTACTATTTCTTAATATATTAAAATATATATAAAATATATATTAAAATATTTTGATTGAACGAATATGCTTGTTGCACGTTATAGCATCGAAAACGTATTGACTAGCCCTACTCACTATGGTGCATTTTGGGTCGGCAGTCAGTCTCCCACCGAATCGGCTATAAAACTTAACATTGAATCTAGTAAAATTTATTTCAAATAAGAACACTTCATTTCATATTTCAAATAAGTATTGTTTTCTTTTTCAAAACCAATCATTGCTTTCAAGTTGTTCATCTTCATTTAAATGTTACACTTATCTTCACTAAGTTGTATTTAATTGAATACCAGTCCTATTATGGGGTACGTGTACAGTCATTATCTTTTCTCCGCTGAGGCAGATTAGATTGTTTGGTGTTTTTCTACAAAAACTTATTTTAGACTGGGACAGCGCGTTTCAATTTACGTGTACACGGTGGCGCCATCTAGCGGCTTATTGGTAAATCTAATGACAAAACAAGACTTCGCAGAGAAGCAAGCTCTATTCAAACCGGGCTGTTACGTGTTTGTCGTCTCGTTTATAAATGCAGTGCAATCCAACCTTTGGTCGTTCATGGCCCAGCGCATTCAACTCGATACGATAAAGTTCCATTACGATATGAAATTATGTCAAGTAAATAAGTAATAGATGTAAAAATCTTGAGCCAAGGTTGTGGTGACGTCTACCTCTAAGTTCACAATGCTTACATACAATCCGGTGAGTGACACTAACCGATGGGGCGGGGGGGGGGGGGGAAGGGGAAAACCGTTAAGAGTAAATCACTGATTAGATTATGTGCTCGTAAACAAAGAACGATTAAAAATTTCAAAATTTACTTTTGAAGGTAGATTTTACCATTAGAAACTTTAGATTTGTCCGTAGTTCAAACATAATGCGCATATCAGCATCCTAGTTATTGTCAGGTATAAACTCCATGATTGCAGTTACAGTAAGCAATTACTTTTTGGTGTATATCTGTATAAAATGTTTAACTAAGGGTTTCATAGTTTGAGTGTTAACGACAGCTTGTTTAAGTCAACCTGCCATAGATAAAGGCTACGGAGAAATGTGTATTCTAGCTTGAAAAAAAGAGTCATTTCGAGCATTTTCTATTGGTATAAATAACTTCGCTTCTATAAGAGCGAGCTCCCAAAATAGGGACGACTGGGACGGGATTGCAGTCTTTGCATTTTAGTCACTTATTCACTTCAGTCAGGAGAAGAGCTAAAATAAATTCATCTGATGCTAGCATCGTTTGTTCACAAGCCTCTAGGCGCACAAAGGTGCATAAGGCTAAAATAAAAAGAAAAAGAATCAATAAAAGTTTTTAGATCATGTATCTCGAAGTTTTTTGCCTTGGAAATAACGCTGAATGTCAAGTTCAAGTATCAACAATGATCTCAAAAAGACTGTTCTTTTCTATCTATTTACTTAGGGGTAACTTTCTTATCGATGAATAGTTCTCTCTTAGATGATACATTCAGTATTACAAATATATTCGTGATGAAAGACACCTTCTATGGAAATGTTTTTTTTTTTTCTTATTTATTAGCTGCCGACTAACAGCGTATATAAAACGTGACTCACTGGAAACATAACCTACCCTATATGAACTCGCCTTGAATAATGATCTTACGATGTCTTACCTCAACATGTTGTCAATACCCCATGTTCAAGTAAATTTCACACCGTTTTACGGTAAGATGCAAAAGTGTGCTCTGCCCACATGGCTAACGATCTAATATACGGACCGATATTTACACACGTTATCGTTTTAAGAAGTTTTTCGAACGGTTTATATAAGTCATCATTCATCAAGAACGCTCATTATAAGAACTACTGACGACTTCCAGGGAAGAGTATTTGCGTTATAGTACAATTCGAATGTTCGAAATAGCTATTTCACTATCCTAAATTTCGGAACGTTCATGAGATTAGGTCTCGGTAATTATGATTGTGCTAAGGAAACGCTTGACTTGTGGACAAAAAACCCTAACGATGAAAACCAATGTTCCAGACCAACGTCTGCGTTTGGTACTTACCGTTAACAGAAACTATAGCTGAGTTTTTATCAGTTTGTATCAAACCTTAGATAGGCCTAAATTTACTGGTCATAGTGCAGCACTGTTGGTATGGTACTAAAAGCTATATCTACATTGTGATGCGAGCAACTTTTGCAGAATGTACCTTTCGTCGAGTCGTTGAAACTAGTTCCGGGCGTTCAAATCCGAGTAGATGGACGTCCAAACTCTGACGCCAGAGCGTAAGTAACAGTTCAGGCAGCATATATTATCTATAGTGTATATTTTAGATAAGTCTTGGATAGAACCTCGGATAGCTCCTGTTGATTGGTAATTAGGCAGTGATAAAGTGGAGATACCGAGACCTGCCGTAGAAGGAGCAGCAGAGACTTAATAGTGGAAAAAATGCATTAATTTTGAATAAGTTTTACCTCGATACTAGAGTACCAATACATCTTGCACTATATGATTAGTTGTTATTTTTGTTATGCAGCTTTGCGATTAACCTGCAACAGGGTCCTGGTTTAAATCCTCGTTCACCAATTATACTGCATTTAGCTGCTTTATTCGAAGGATTCACTGGAGAAACCGGACGTGTGGTACGAAATCACCTAGTTGGAGAACACTGGGGTGTAGAGGAGAATCACGGACCTTCAATGCCCTTTGCTAGAAACAAGCCTTTCAGCGTACTTTTGCTGGTCCAGGACGCCCATTACAAGGTGTAGACAAATTATTGAAATACTAGTCGTGTTGCACTACGCAAAAAATACCATTACGTTTATTCTTAAATCAGCAGTAGATTTTCGCTTTGATAACATGGCGAAAAACCCGAAACTCCATAGGTTACATTGTACCCGGGAAACTCCATATTTTATGCCCCTTGAATTCAATACGACGTCGGATTTCGTTTATTTTTTCATCACCACAACCAGTTACCCGCAATTAACTATTTTGTGATACGCTGTTGTTGCTTTCTCAGATCGCTGTAGATGGGATACACTTCTGTGATTTTTTCCACCGACTTCCGTATCTCACCTGTACACATCTCGTGATAGATGGAGATGTTACCCTTAACCTAGTCGAGGTGACCCAAACATCGGCCATTGATACTGACCTCCCGACGGCGCCACCTGAGGTAAAAGTAACTTTTATAGTTATGCAACAGAATTGTTAAAGATGCTACAGTGGTTTCAAGTTATGCATACTTCATCTTCTATGTACGCATGAATCTAAGCTTTTCAAGTATTTCACTATTACAATTAGTAAATGTTATGCTGGTAACGGTTTTCGATTGTACACGTTTTTCAACTTGGTTATAATACAATGGCAAAATGTTCCTTACATAAGCTATATTAGGTTAAGGGCAGCGTTCCTATAGTGAGTACTATATATAATGCTCGGACGAAGCTACAGTTTTTTGAAGCTTACTTATATAAGTATATAAATAGCTATCGATGTCTTAAAAATACAAACGAACCTAGCTAACAAACAAACAAACTCCGTTAAGCTGTGGCTTAACAGTAACTTTTTTGGCTAGTAACAACTACAGTTAGGTGCGAAGATTCTGTGTACGTAATACGTAGGTTTCAACTACGAGCTGGTCTTAATAACTTTTAGCCGGACATTAAACTTTAAGACCGTCCTTTTTGTTGGCTAGGGTTCTTAGCATCGACTAGTCCAGCACTAAAGCAAGTTTCTTCAGGTACTTATCTTCAGAGATTATTAAGGTGTTGTGTGGAGGAGAGTTGGGCATGAGAAAGTATTAGAGTGACTCGTACGAAAATAGCCATATTTTCCATAGGAACCACACTATGCTTCCATCAACAATATGTCAACTCGAGCGTTCGACACAGCATATCAAACCATCGATAAAGAATCATATACTTCATTGTAATTTATCTGAAGATATTATTCTAAATCGAAATCGATAAGATAAATCTTGGGGCAGATTTTACAGGAACTGTCAACGTAAGTAGCTCAGTTACTACAATATTCAATAGCTAAAACTAATATCCAAATGCTATTAACTAGAGCGTATTAATTCGTTGAGAGAATCAGGAGACCCTGTAACAGCTTTTCCCGTTTGGCCACGTAACTTCCAAACCTTAATCCTTTCGTTTAGTTCGTTAACGTCCGGTCCCAGAGCTATCTCGCTCGCACATGCTTAGATTGCATAACGTATTGATACAACATTTGTCCGTAACTCTCCATATTTTCCGTCATATTCTACTTGCCATTGATTCGGGGTCCACGTGAAGCCCTGATACACAGTGCACCCATAATCTGTGACGTCATCGCTGATAACACGACTCTCTACCCGTTCTCAGTCATCATGCGGCATTTTCTTTGCCCCTTCACGTTCAGTCTTTCCTACTTACACTCCTTTCATTGGACCGACGACGGCTTTGCCGTCCGCAACGGCACTGACACGCAGCGGATGTTTCATACACGTCTCACACATGGAAATAAATGAAGTTATTAGCTGATTTCCTATAAGATTATACATTATCTTATTATTCTTCACCGATGCATAGACACTGTGCCCTGTAGTGATGCACGAAAAGCTGATGACATTTTTCTATAGTTGGTGAGTTCTGTTTTAGAACGCTGACATCGCTGGTCTGAGTCTAACACGCGGAAACATTTCTGCATCCGCAATAATTATCTTGTACCGACCATATTACAGCAAGAACAAACCTCTCACTTAGCATCCAAATCAATGTCGATATTTGAGTCGGCGACTGGGGTCATCAATTCACTCTTACGAAAGGTGCATTTAGATACCACGGCAGCGATTATTTGTTATATCCGCCGTCTGTTGCTAGTCCGACCGATCCCAACTAGCTGTAGGACAACACGTCAAAAGGCTCGCTGACACAGCCACTTCCTGCTGTAGTCACTTTGCTCCTTGCCATCTAGGCCTACTGCATCAGACAGAACGTGCGAGAAGAGTGACAGTGAAGGCCCGTAGCGATGTCAATGATTTGTGAAGCAGTTGTCCCACTACTGTCGAACTTCAATTGAGTACGTTAACTGATGCAGTGCAACTTGACAAAGCGACATTGGGGTTCGATGGTCTGAGTCATTTAGTGTTTGTAACTTGGAACTGATTTGTTGTATGTACGTCGATTGAGAAGAGAGCCAAAGGGTTAAGAAAAATCGAGAAGTCAGTGTTTTTTATAGCATGATCTATGTTCTAGAACAGCTAACGGAGTCAACTTAAAATCATAATGGTTAGTAACTTAAAGCATTTACTGTGACTCAAGTTACGATGCATTAACACATGGTGCTTATTCATAGCTTAACAGCTGATACTTGATATACGAATATACCTGCCTTAATAGTACTCAAAATAATAGAGGACATACTAGAAAAAAATGTGTAAATGCTGGGCTTTTGTCTGCCATCATAACTGACTGCTGTGCTTGAAGTTTCTCACAGTTATTCAGCACGGGAATAGTAGTAGAATTCGTCACTCGAAGGTCAATGTTAGCGCATTACCTGTTCGTGTAATTCGTAATTTTGCCTGACTTGGAGCCGTAGAATTGTGCATGATACCGATCGAACCTTAACACACTGTTTATTTACGCAACAAATCTTCCAGGTGGCTGTCCAGTTGGATTTGTTCTGTCCGTAACTGCGTGGGTTGTTGGAAAACTTTATTATAAAAAAAGAAGTTAGCCTCGGAGCTTTTACTTTCTGTACTTGTCTTTACTGGAACTGTTATATCGATAACGTGGATGGGTCCAAATTTTCTTTGTTAAAAGCAGTTATGGGAACCTTTTTACAGTGACCTTAAATAGCGTTATATTAAAATCTTATCTGGCCATATTTGGTTAGAGGACTGGAATGGGAATATAGAGCTACGAATTGTATTGAGTTTCGATGCCATGTCAATAAAGTAAATAAATTACCATATCCCTTTATCGTTATTTCTTGTTCACTCATATTCGACACTTCATGTTCAGATAAGACGTATTTGACCTCAGCTATTTAAAGTTCAATTTCTGTGACGGTTGATTTGGGAACATTAACACAATTCCTGTTTCTCTGCAGCCGGGCTTCGTTTCCTCGGGCAGCTTTTATCCCAACTGTCTGTACAACTACGGCGATAATAACAACTATGGACCTAGTAAGTACGGGCCTTCATGTTATTCACAAGAGGCTTGCAACATATAGTTATGGTAGCAACGACACCAGCCGTACAGCATCTTAGTAAGATTCGACGATTTGATCTTTTTTCAAAGAATTCTCCAGATTTTTACGTTTACTTTACGGTTGCAAGGTCGTAGTCAACCACGTTGCTGCTATACCATTTGCTTATGGAGATATTATATACAGGATAAAGTAAAAAATCAGTTAACAGTAAAGAATTTCCATTTATATTTGTTAAGTTAACATAAAACTATTATAACAGCCCTGTAAATATCCAGAAACTTGCCTTCGAAGTGCCAAGGAACTTTTGCTTCATCAACTTCCATGAGTGCAACTATTATCCAATTATTTTACTTCCAATACAGTTGAACAACGTTCTCTGGCCCATTTCTAAGCATGTTGTGTCTGACTGCTTTATTTTGCTCTTATGTTCCTATAGGTTCTGTAGCGCCCCCTTATACGTTACAATCTGTGCCGTATCCAGGCGCATGCGCCTCAAATCCAAGCTATCCACGGCCGGCTCACGGTAACGTCACGCCATACCCGCCAGCTGTTCAGCCAAGTTATCCTGCACTGGGGGGCTACCCAGCGCCCGCCGGTTTCCCTGTGCCCCCACCAACAGCAGAGTACACACCCCAACCTAGTTATCCTTCTGGTACGGGGTGTTTACCACCAGGACCATACCCAGGATATCCTACACAACCTGGCCAACCATCTCCTGTCAATAGCAGTGGTGGCGCAGCTTTGGGCGGGTTAGGGACCGCCTTCAGCAGCAGTGGCATCGGGGCTGCCGTTGGTGCTGCCGCATCGAAAATTTTCGGCAAGAAACATCTGGTAGGCTACACAAATAATGCGAATGAGATGTCCTCCTCTGTCGCGTGACGAATTCAAGTACAAGTACCTAAGAGATTTTCAACGCTAAGAGAGAACGATCATGAGACAATGCGTAACTCAAATATGAATAATATTAAAAAGTATATTGTTTAATTATCTTACTGGTTCTGTTTAGTTTTTACTAATTGCTGAAAGTCCAATGGACGATTCTCTGTGCTATAATATTTACGAATTCAGAGTACTACCTCGTGATGCTGTACCATTCAAATAACTGCAGATGCATTTGGTAAATTATAGCAAAACACTTCCGGAGCACATTCTGGACATTCGTCAAGCGGTTCAGCCTTAGGTACCGTTTTGGGCGTGGGAGCTGGTGCCTTAGCAGCTGGTGCTATACTTAAACATGCTAATCCGGTAAGTGTTCAACAGAGTTAGGATACCCAATGGCAAAAAGGACTTGCTTTTTTTTTGCATTGATCATTATTGTTCTCGCTGTCTTGTCATTTCTACCATCGGGCGTCACCTGAGCTAGTATAATTTCGAGTCGGATTGTTTTAATGATCGCCTGAAATTATGTAGTGCTTTCCTGTGAAGCGGCATAAGGCCACTTCGCAGAAATAGAAAAGATCGATTTTCTTATATTGCCAATAAATATCAGCTGCTCTTTTTTCTCGTATTGGAACTGCTGGTGAATCTAAACTATCCCTTTGGGCTAAGTTATACTTACTTTTTTCGATAGCAGCACGTGTTGAAATTGCACTGGACGAGTCAAGTTTGCCAATTTCATTAATGCCTATTATTCGTTTTTTTCCGATGGAATGCCGCTCACAGTGAGGTTTTTGCCTTAAAGATATATGCATATATATATCGAAAAGTATTGTCTTGGACAGTTTTCCGTTGAAAGACATTTATATTGTTTCCTAGAGTACATCACCGGAACCCAGGCCGATTCATGGTAGGGACCTAACACTGGATATAATTGACGTTACCAAGTGTTGTCCGCGCGACCTTCGGTGTCCTCGGTGCTAAGTTTCCATTGGCGTTTTTCGGTCTTCGTCCCTCAGACCATCTTTTTCTAAGCGGAATTGCCCTATCTCTTTGCAGTGGGAAGATAGTGAGTGAACGACTGGCTGTTGTTCATTAATTCCATTATAATGTTCTCGTGTTGGTTTCAGTTGAAGAAAATGATGAAAGCCTTCGACTACTCGAGCTCCTCCGACAGCGACTGAGCACAGTGACGCCACGTGCAGCGTTTATTTTCATAATTTAGTGACGCCATAGGCAAATGTGGTATAGACTGCACAGGCATGGACCGCTGGAGAAAGGCAGGTTATTTACTGAGGTCTATCGCGTGCAACAAAACACAATTTCGAACGATAGAATTGACCACGTACTTTACTTCTACTATGTTCCCTAAACACATTGGGCATCTTTTGATAAATGGATGCCATTGCGACTGATAACGAATGCGTCTTGTGCTGTTAGCTCGCAATATAAGCTATTGAAGAGATAGGCCATGTTCGATAGTACAGCTATAATGAATTTAATGTACGCCATTTACATAAATGTTCATATTTCTATAGATGGTATAAATTTTCCAGATGATCTAGCCGACGCAATAGCTATCTAGTTGTAAGAAATTTTCAGCGTCAAACACCGAGATGTCAAGTAGTGTGTTCTATGAAGACGAAGCGATGATAATTTGTTTTTAGGTACTATACTTGATTCAACTTATAAATTGGTTAGTTAAGTTAATCTCATAAGGTAAATATCGTAGCGCTGCATGTCAACCGGGCAAGCTTTAAATATACTGAGTGCATACACAAACGCGATCGCTACGTATAAAAATCCAAAAGTTCAATAAAGACTTCGACAACGGGTTTTCTATTTTCTCAGATACGCATTGTCATAGAAACCAGATGTCACCGCGCCGTGTTGTCTATATCGTATCATCTATGCGTAGACATTGTTTGTCATAAATAACGTCTAGAATTTGGCAGGACCCTTTTCGCTCCGTATTTTTTCCGTATCTTTCGAACGGTAGCGAAACAGAACCTTTCAAAACTTCTTGAATATATCTTCTACATATATATATATATATATGATAATCACTTAGATGTTCCGGTTCTAACGATAGCTCTACTGCCTTATTCGTGAATGGTTGATCCAACAGCTTTATGTTTGTTATCGAAGTCACTATGAAGTGATCATCCATGTACACATTGTCGTATTGCGCATAATTGATGCCATACAAAAAGTGCGATTTTTCCCCCACTCGTCAGTTAGCGAAGCTTAAAAAAAATGTAGCACAGACACGGTTTCCTGGCTCACCAACGGTCTTCATCTTCATCGTCGCAGCTGTAGCAGTAGCAGCGATTAAACTCGTAGCTTCATAACGATACTAAGCGCACCACGGTACCGGGAACTGTCGCTAGAATATCTTTATTTATCAGTTTGACATTCTACTGGAAATTGACTGGAAGATGCGAGCGATAGGCATCTCTAATTGTCAGCTGCTATCTGTAATGTCCTATTCTATCGGGACGAACAGCGTAACATACGGAGCCGCTCTAAACGCGTATGCTATTTCTACTTCATACACGATTGCGATTATTTTCAACATTACGCTATGTTAAAAATGAAGCAAGTATGTCTCTATGGAAAACAGACGTAAGTCTATACGATTTATTCGAACAACTTCATTCGAAGTTCTTCATTCTGTCAGTCTTGGCTTCATGGTAGCCTTGAAGCATTTAAGACCCTAGTGAATATTTGCACGCAAAAAGCATCTGTTGGTATTCCGATAGTGCACAAGATACTTGAGAGGTTTTTGTTCAATTTAAAGAGCTTCCTTTAGGATCGGGAGGACGACTGTTTTAATGGATCTTCATCCGAAACATATTGCTCTCTGAGTTCGCTGCTAGCGTCGAACGACAGATGGCGAACGATCGCTTAACCCACGGCTTCGTAAAGCTCATAGCAGATCACCGTTTAATCGGCGGATTAGTCGAGTCGATCATTAACTACTGGTCGAAGCCCAAATAAATTGCCGTGTGAGGATTTTAGAGGTCAAAAAAATGGGCTTCGCATTGTCGACAAACGAGTTGTTGTTCAACAGTTACGATGGTTATCATCTATCCATAATCCTATGCGTATATATTCGACAAATAAGGAAATGATAACAAAACGAGTCAAGAGGTCCAAACGAATATTCCTACGACCTGTGAGGTTTACTTCTATACGCTTCTATATACTATATATATACGCTATATACTTCTATCTACTCTATACTGTGAGGGAAGTGTACTTCTATACGACTACTCAAAATCGGGCCGATGATCACCATCCGTCATGTGTCAAGTCATTGTAAATAATGGAAGCGACCAAGTTAAAACGCTGTACGATTATTTTGGAAGGTCTGCCGAGTCCTGACAACGAACGAATTAAGTAAGGCAATTGAAAAGCTCGATTCTGTCATCATTTCAGAATTTTAACTTCTGCAAGTTGTATCACTAACACAAATTACACTGGACATAAAGGGAGTGAGAGCAATTGCGTATGATTTGTCTTTTATCATAGAACCGTAGAAACTGCAAATGGCACAGCGATATTTGCTAAGGCTGGTAATAATCAACGTACAGTTAAGAGCGTTAGGTGCCAAGAAGTACCGTTTTCCAATTTACATGCAATTTCATATTTGGTTTGTCCGAACCGTTATGTCAGGCTATGGATAAAAAACATCCCGCACCCACATAATGGACGATCTTTTTCATTTTTTATTTTCGCATAGTAAAATTGCTTTATTGCATTTATATGTCTGTATCCGTTTACTTAATAGTCGTATCGTATTCTTTCCCCGCCTTATCGCGCTGTTCTGTATTGTGTGTATGTTTCTCAAACTAAGAAACGCAATTTAGTGCTTAAGGCAAGAAAGCATACAAACAGGCGAAAAAGAGCCAGTGGAAGGAGTTATTAATAGCTAATGCAATAGATACGTTGACAGATACCTAAGAGTAACGTATTAGGTGGGATTAGAGGACAAGAAATCGTCGACCAGGATCGCACGCGCACGCAGATATTGCACCCGCACAAACCTGGTCGCCTTTACCAGCTTCAATGATTTTGGCGGGTAGTACCGCAATAATCACTATCGCCTCCTATTAAAAAAAGCCAAATAACTATTAACATCATTATAGCGAAACGAAGGTACGCCTCCCCCATTCAACGTCCCTCGTTTATAGATGAAACAATTCTTTGACTTAACAAGAATAGAGATTTATTTTTATTTTTGTCGTCAATAAGGGAAAAGAGATCCAAAATTAGCGTTCCTACCCTTATTCAACATCTAGAGAAACAACACGATTACAAGAACAGGCAGGGTCTGCGCGCGTGACACAATAGGTAGACCGCAGGGTCGTTAAGCACGCAAGATTCAATTTAGCAACTGACGGCCATCATCTAATTTCCACCTGAATGTTGTCGATATAACGGGAACAGTTTTACGGCGACACCTGCCTTATATTGTACGACACTTCAATGCGTGTCGTGTACCGTATGCACTTTGACAGCGACACATCAGTCAAACTCAGAAAATAAAAATTCCTTTTGTTCCGGAACAATAAGGGCTTTTTCCTCGACAGGTATCCTCTCTCCATCCTTGCCGTTGACATCACTGTAGAAGCGGAATCAATTATTGTCCGTTCAACAAGACTTTCCCATCATATCAAACTAATAATCATCATTATCGTTATCACTATGTACAAAGCAAGAGCAGCCGATTCCAGCGGCATCCATACTGGTAGCCAAATAGTGGGGGATCCATGAAATTCGCTTCTTAACCAGACTTGAAGAGCAGAATAGCAACCTGGCCGAGGTAGAAATAGATGAAATGCTTTGTCTCATGTGTCACATAACTGCCGAAATTACGACCAACGATACAGTGCCATGTTGGCGAGTATTTCTTGTCGAACTCCTTCTTGATATACGCCGCAATGTCCTAAACGAAAAGCATCGGCACAGAAGAACGAGAAGACATTAGCGTTTGTTTTCTAGCAAATGTTAAGTGTCAGTAATGGTTTGAACCTTGGCCGCAGTTACGCATTGCTTCAGAAAGGTGTTTCACTTTCGATTTTGAACCTAAATCGCTCTACCGTGTCTCGAAACTTTGTAGGAAAATATGCTGTCGCGTCACCATCGAGGGGATGGGGAAAGATAAATCTAAGAACTTAAAACTTAATTTATTCGCGAAAAGTTCGTTAATTGCAGTATGAACGTCCTATAAAGCAAGTCGGTGGTCGGCAATTTTACTTCAACTTGACTTTTAGGCGTGCCAAGATATGTAGAACAACTTGGGTAGATATAACACAGTGTCCTAGACACTGAAACGGCACAGCGTAATCAGAAGTTCGATAGCTCTCTGAAACATCTCTGAAAAAAAGCGCCATTACAACCCCGTCCTATCTTTATCGCAACTATACATAATCTGTTGCGCAGTTGATGAGGCATCTGGCGTTCCATGCTTTAGCACAATTTAAATCTATGGATCTTCTAAATCTACAAATAATCTAAAACTAGATTTACCAAAAACACAGTTAATAATTTATTAACTTCGATTCAAAATCAATTTCACACAGAGATGACAACTCATCGGCAACTGTTCTTCAAGTGTCTTCACGCACATGCATTGACCGATGAGGCAATGAAGAACGCCTATACCTGCTGACATCGTAGTACCTGCAGTTGCGACCATTATCCTATAGCTGAGTCTTCACGACGTCGACGCTAATGGATACACTGTTGTTTTCATGCAAAGTTCACTTTTCAATATTAATTTTGAATTTAGACGAATTTCACGCAACGTTTCCCTTACTATCTTTCATGACTGCTCCGGACCTAGTCACGGTGATAGATAATTACCTTTTCGATGTTATATTTCTCCATTGCCTGTGTGGCAATATCGACAGCATCCTGCTGCATCTCCTCAGACATGTCCGCATTTTTAATGACGGCCTTTCTGTCACTGCTCATTTTGCTGTGTAAACGGTTGTGGACGATCTCTGCCAATTACACGTATCGATAAATCGGGCTAACAGTAATCACAACAACAAAAAATAAATTTAGCGCGTTAAATCATACTGCAGTTCGTGATTGGAATGCCATACAGAGGGGACGAATGGACACCTTTTGCCGTAGGGGGCGCGGGGGTGTAATATATAATATTATAATTATTATTGTTGTAACAATTGTAATCTGTCGTTACTTTTACCCTTTTCAATTGTGATTCGCAACATGTTTTTTTTTTAAATATAATAACTTAAATTTTTTAATGTAAACATAATAATATAAACTAAAAATAAATTTGATAGAGTAATTAAACCACTAATATTCATATAATACGTTTTGCATAAATACCATGTATTCTAAGATACGGTTCGCTTAATTGTTTACTCTAGAAACGTAATTCTAAGAAAGTATTTATTTTCTTAAGGGCATGTTATACCGTAATTGGTTATGTGTAAATTATGTGATATGGATTTGTATAAGTTCATTCAGTATTTCCTTGGGGTCAGATGAGAAATGAACACTTTCGTAAAAATCGTACCACGTGCTTACTGTGGCGTAATTTGCGTAGTTGTACGTGCACATACGTTTGATCGTACCACATAAACCCAGACAGGTGGCACGATATACTCTAGATTTACTACTACAATTAGGAACCACTGTTGCCGTATCAGATGATTGCAGTTACGCTTGTTTACAATATGGCAATAATTCGTATGAATACGACGACTTAAAATATATTTGAGTGCGTTTCAAATTAAATCTCATTCCAAATGCAGACTAAATCTCGAAATCGTCATCTTTAACAGAATGGCTTGCATCGATCGATACCTTCTACCACAGCGCATTCCGACCGCTGATTCCCCGCAATGGGAAAAGGCCTTCTACGTTCGCCGTTATCAAAGCGCTTCTTTCCACGCCAGCAATAATCTGACTAATCTGACTTACGCAGAGAAGGACAAATACTATGTACCGAGTAATAACGTCCATTCATAGAAGGCACTTCCGCTAACTCTGCTGTGACTAAACAAGTGGAAAGAGGTAGGTCAGACTCTCGATAAGTTATAATAATGTTTTTACAACTTATATATATAAAACGGCGCTTATAAATGTTTTTCGTTAAAGACGCTAGTTGAACGAAAAATAGATAAAAACTAGCTGGTCGCTAAGAGTTTTTAGATAACGGAACAGTGGCGAAGTGGACACCAATTCAGTGAGCGGTAACTACAAGATAAACATTGTTCTAAAGTTTAAAACGGTACGTGTTGTTATTTTCGTTGTGAACAAGCTCACGTATTATCACCAAAGTGGCAAATTAACGAAATATAGTTGTTTCGTTGAATGTGCCCTTCAAAACAATCTTTTAAGAGTCGCTCGTCTTGATATTTAGATAATGCATAACAGGTCTACGCTGATGCCTACATCGGCCATCATGTTAGAGTCATGATCAAAAAAATGGCCAAAAATGTTGCATAGACATTCAACGTGTCGTTTTGCGCAAAAGTGTCTTTTCTCTTTTACCGACCTTCAGCGTGTGTATTTGTTTTTATCATTAAATATGCTTGTTATTTTTAACTCTGATCAAGCGAACACACGCACTCTGCATAATGCTTAGTTTACCAAACGACAGCTATCTGGTACAGCATGCCGAATTTCATATATATCATGGGTACTTCTTAAGACCCTTCGTTTGACAAATCACCTATAAGAGACACTGCCTCGAAGAGTAGTCCGAGTCACAAATTTCTTCACAAGAAATCAATGAAAGAGGGTATTCGCACTTATCGTTCGTATGCATCAACATATCGGCAACGCAAAACATTGATTCGGTATCAAACCCTTTTTCGAAAAACACTTGTTCTTTTATTACTGTATAATTGTCTGTCCTGTATCGGGTTCGAAGTACAGGCCTATTCAAATAGAGTTGCACAATTTATATTATTTTTGTTTGATAAGTTATTTATACCACAGTTAATTTAAGATCAATTTTGCTACGCCATATTGCTACCATATTAAAACGCTTCAGTTATCTTAATTTGTTTTTATACAACTCTAGGAGACCACTAGGAGAAAGCAGCTCAGTGTCGCTCTGTCGTCGAAATCACTAAGTGGCCGTAAAAAATTCTCTGTTATGCAAGTAGGCGCAGTAAGAGCCGGGTGAGCCAAAACACTCGCGCCAAAGGCATCCGCACCGTCTTTGATAAAATTTGATTGGACACAAATAGACGAGCTTCTTGTTTTGCAATTTTTATAAATCGTTGGCAAAAAAGCAAATTAGAAATCGGTTAATTCTTGATAATTGGCTAAAATTTGTAACATGTCCACCACGGTACACTCTCTAACCAATTTTATCAACGGCACCTATTCCTACTCATATAGCTAAAGATTCAAGCTGTGTAATAAAGGAACAAAAGGCCAACGAAAAGCTTGAATCACTTACGAGACCTCACCCAAACGCTGACCTAAATCAAAACAAAACTCACCTACCCTGGACACAAAGCATGGTCGGAGACAAATATAGCCATGTAATTCGGCAAGAGAGAATCTCAAAGAATAATATACCGTTAACTGATAGATGAAATTTACAACGGAGGTCCCTCGACCAAAGAGGGTTGGAGTTTAACTCAAGTTGCATCTGGCGTGACCTTACTCAAAAGGCGTATCGCAGGGTAAGGTCGTGCAAAACGTTATTCTCATAGCATATCAACTGTATTAGCCAGCCCCGCCTTCGATTGGACTTCGATTGAGGTGAATCTAGTGCTCGCCAGTCCTTTAAGCTCATTGATGGACTCCACGTTAAATCTATAATACGCTCACCGCTCTAATAATCAACCTATGCCCTATTCGCTTTACGTCGGCGTCATTTTACATGGTCATTATTTGATGATTCAGTCCTCTCCGTTTTTGCTTGAACCCTCGGTGCAGAGTCATACGGTCATGCCAAGTATACTAAAAGCGATGGCCGTCAGCTATTCCTGCTGTGAGTATTAAATTCTCCTAACCGTGACGATATAATGATCGGTCATATGAATCTACACAAACTTTCTGGTAAAACAGGAACATCGCAGACACCTTAGAGGCGCAGTCACGCCCTACGAAAGTTATGTGCATCGTACACGTAGACGAAAAGAGCTTTACGTAACTGCCATACTTTGTTTATAAATTTTAGAAAATTCCAGACATTTCTTTATAAAGAGTTACCTTTAAAAAATAGGTTTCTTTGCGAAGAGAAACTAGTAGCAACACCGAAGCATCAATGTCTAACATACTCATATTCAATAGCAACAATCACGACAATAGAGACATATAAGGTAACACTTGTATATTTCGAACAATTTCATAACCATACCTTAGAAGTGTTTGTTTTAATTTATAGAAAAATAGCTGGGCTTTCTTCACGTAGAAACCGTACGACCAGTGGATAGGCCACACTCCTAGCTGGCGAGAAGAAAGCAGAAAGAAACAGTTGACAGGAGGATCACGCACACACGACTACGAAAAGCCATTTATTGATGTGGCCCCTGATACTAACAATAACGGTAACTCGTCATTACAGATGCATCATCATTGTCAAGCAAACTTGACGGATAAATGAGACTCGTGTTGCCAACATCGCCCTCTTGCTAACTATACGTGAGAGAATTGACTTAGCCTAGGCGTGACGAGCCTTTCGTGAACAGCTCTGCCAGCAAAGGCCTTTCTGACTGGCTTTTTTAGGCTTCTATTTCTAGTATGAGCATTGATGTATGTGAAAATCCTTTACACGAAAACTGTTACTTTCGGCTATTTGCAACGGCCACACGGAGCCCACAACACAGCAGTTACACGCATATCTGATAGAGAGAAATGGGCCGATAGTCACCAAATACACTGACAGTAACGCTGGTAGGACAGGAACGAACTTACCGGCTCGTTGGCGTTTCAATTGACGAAGGCAACACAAAATGATTGGTTACAGATCGTCCTGGTTGATTAGCTCACGACACGCACTTAGCCAGCGGTAACTGGATGACAGACTAAACTCAATCCACTCTTAGCCTGAAGTGTGAAACGACAATTCACGGTTTCTGTCCTGATCCGGCCGGCACAGTCGTTCCGAGATAGAGATGCTGATTGGCTGGCTAAATTGAGCGCGCGCGCTCCGCATTGGTCAGTAGATGGTCTTCCAACCGGACTTCCAACAGGCTCCGCCCTTTCGCGAGCAGACTGCTTGTGACGGCGCCATTCCTGGCGGACATGGACGCGGCAGAATTCGAATGAGCGCGCTAAAATGGCAGAGACTTCCCGCTAATAGCCACCATTTATACGACCACTCTTTCTCTATAGATATTTTTTCTCCTTATTCCTATTGCTGCCTGCAGCTGTTTATAGCTAACAGCGTCAACAGCGCTAGCTGCACAGTGCTCCCACCATCCAACTCTAACCTATGGACGGTTAGTACCCATACACGGCGACGGTGACCGGTGGTTCCTGCAATGACAAGCAGTTGACAATAGCAGCGCCATTGGTTGCAGTATTGTGCCACTTCTGAGGCATTCTCAAGGGCAACACGAAGCTTGTCATTCAATTTTAAGTGTATTATAATAACAATAATAATAATATCAGCAGTAATATCACAATGCCGCGCCACTGTACAGTGTACCGTGGTGTGAACAGTGTGCTACGAGCAGTAGCAGCAAAAACTGGTAGCCGTTGATGAGAGTACGTCTAACCGTGTCTTTCTCGTCCGTCCATCGGCGTGTACTGGTCTATCTAGGACTGAGAAGGGAAGTGAGTCACAGAGACTTTGGATGATGGACGGGGGGCCATTACCAAGGTCTTGTGCCAGTACACTTAGACGCATTGCCGTCGGATCATCCGGCCAGCCGAACAGGAAGACAGCCCATTTGCTAGTTGTCCACAAGCAGTGGAAAAAAATGGCCAGCACCCAATGACAACGACAACGGATGAATGAACAATTAAACTGGCTTACTTGGCTTGTCAGTGTATCTGCCGGTACCTAGTCAACAATCATCTGGCTCAGTCTTACTAGGCAGTTCAGATCAACGCGACAATCAGTCTAGCGACCGCGTACCGCAACAGCAGTGACAGTAGCGGCTCATTCAAAAGTTCATTTTGCGACACTTTGCTAAGCGCTGTGTGCCTAGAGGCAAACACGGAGAGTCGGCGCAGCTGTGTATCTGCCCACGAGTCACAACCGCGCACGAACGGTAGCCGAGGCCGCTCTTCCCGCGCCCTGTCATGCTTTATACAGTAATTGCCGATATATATATACGTACACCGCAAATGTGTATACAACAGCAGGCACAGCGACAGCCGTTGGCCGAACACGAAACTGACACGGGGGAACGTACGGTAGTAAAATGTATGATAGGACTGGACAGCAAAATCGACCAACAACTTTGTGGGCATCGAAGTCACTTTGTGACAACGGCTATTGCCAGCGTCTGAGTTCGTGAGGCGACTACTGCAATAGATGGGCGGTCCCGACGGTTGGATTCCGACCACTGTTTGGCGCTACGAATGGCTGTTCTGTACGATACTGATGTTGTCGCTGCTATTGGGCTATTATTCGAGCGGACGCCGCGAGCGCTGCTTGCACTGACGTTCACCTAACTCGGCGGCGAAGTCGGCCTCACACTTCACACCGAACTCATACATTTCGATACACATACATATATGAGAAAACATCATGACGTTCATCTATATGAATACATATATATTTACAAAGCCTAAGAGCAGCTGCGCCAGGACACCAGATGCGCTGAGCAGTAAGGTATACCTAAAGTCAACCCGCAATACTTGAGGGTACGGGGTGGACACGTCGGGCGGTGAAGGAATAGATTTCTAGAATCGAAACATGCAAACAAACAGATGTTATATGTATGAAGCAAAAATCGTCGCACTAATTTTATTAGTGAGAGATAAATTAAAAAAAAAAGTAGTCTTAGTCAACACTCATTTTTTTAGAGCATATACAGCCCGTTGTCGACATGGCCTCGACTGTACCCAAAGCCAAAATAGAACGAAAGAAGTAGTGTCATAATAATGAGGCGGAAATCTACGGAGGCGGAAGATAAACGAAAAAAGTTGAAAAAGATTTGCTTTTTTAGAAAATTTTTATCGTAAATAAAGGCTTGAAAGAGTTGAGTCCTGCATATCCGCGTGAAGCTTTTGTACTGCTAGAGAAAAATCACTGGCGTCAAATATCGAGTTTCGCTATATTCTACATTTTGTATTTTACAGTCGATTATGATATTTTGTACACTTCTTAGGCATTACCTTTCCGTGACCTGTCGACTGCTAGTAAAACTCAGGATCTAAAACTCGTTATAACTTGTCTAGTAATCTCGCTATTGAATTATAATATACCTGTAATTTTCGAATGCCAGCAGATCCTCCACTCCTTTAAAGTAATTAGGATTACAATTTGAAATCACCAGCGCCTATACGAGTTTCAGTCTGCATCTGCGATATGTCGAAATCGATTTTATGCAATTTCTAGTAAAAGATGGTTTATCCGTAGATCACATCGCTATGTGAGAAGGCAGACATCGTATCACATCTTGCTGCTGTTCAGAGTGACCAATAGGGAAAATGATTCCGCCCCTAGTGTAGACATTTTTCAGCAGCGCTCGACATGAAAATCAACTATATCATATATACAAGCGTATCATATGGGTATCGAATGTTGACAATTCATCAAATACTGATTAGTGACCTTAATCCACGTTGGGCTCAACTGCCTTCGAAGTCGCGAATCTTTAGGGAACTAACCTCATTTCGGCATGGCACGACCTGAAAAGCCACTTCAAGCACACTCTGATACGAAACGCTGGCCTAATTTTTTATTACACGTAGATCTTTCAGGTCAACGAGCAACGAGTGTCAGATAGTTAACGCCCAGGAAGAGTCTACCTGATATCTGCAAATACATGCACATCTATGTAAATAGCGACGAAATCAATTTTAACGATTTACGGCTAAATAAGAATATTGAATATGTAATATTGTTGTGAGAACAGTCAGTGGTTTATATGGGTTAGCCATATTCTGGCTATGGTTCTCGTACGCGTGGCTGGCATTTCCATTGAATCGCTGAATTTTATCGAATATTTTTGAGCAATAACGGGCTGATTATTTTTTCCATCTAATCTGTGTTCAGACATAGCTAATTGGGAATTTTTATAGGTTCTAGCACGAAGACGCTATAGGTATATTACGCGTAACAATAATGATATGGGTTTTAGAAACAACGCAACAGTCGGTCCTAACATATGGGTGTGAATTAAACTCGATCAGAAACTGCTTCTCGTAAATAATCACTCGTTTCTCGCTAAAACACTGAAAAATCTATTCTGTCGATAGTTAAGTGAATTATTTAGCGACGTTGCTAACAAATCTAAAACGTTTGTATCCAAAATAGCACGGAAACGACAAAAGTCTTTAATTTTTCATATATCGGACATCGGATGAGCACCGGAAAAGATAATGGATGTTACAGTATCGCAGAGAAGCAGTGATACATAACGTCCGATGCATCCCTGCTACGATCATATAGACATGTACCACTCCTTTTTCAACGACGTTTCAAGCAAATCACTTCGCCAGGAGTGGGGTTGATCACGCGGATGTGTCGAAAAATTCGATGAATACGTAAAATCAACGAAGACACCGAACGAGTTATTGCGGAGGTCGTAGCAAATCAATTCTGTATACATCTACCTTTTTTCGTATTAAGGGTTACTGTTTTCCGCATTGACGTTTCAGTAACAGTAGAAGATACTTAGTTATAGGCTGAATGGCTACATTTCCTACATCGTGCAATACTGAATTTCAGTATTTTTAGCCAGTTTTATTTTTAGTTATGTTTGTAAAAATATTTGTAGTTTAATAATATAAATTACTCAGGTAAATTCTAAAAAAAAAGACACATGATTTTCATTAGTCCTGAGTGGTCCCGAGCAAAATGAAAAGACTCGACAGCGAAAAAAATTATGAGTGCGCAAAAACCAAGTTCAAAGAAAGCTCCTTTTTACAGGTTAAATAGCTAAAAAAATTTTTGAAATACTGCAAATTTGTTATTTTAAATCAGGATTATAAGGTTTAAGTATTTTAGGCATACCTTTTTAAGCAGATACCGGCATCTAAGTCTCGTCTATTATTTCTATTAGAGAATCTACATAATAATAATTAAAAAAATACCATTGTCTCATTGTTAAAAGTCCAGCTGATTGTAGCTAGTAACCAGAATCACAGATGCTACTATATGAGACAGAAAGCCATGAAATACATTAAAACAACATTCCCATATATGTATAGAGGAGATTCTGGGTGTAGTACAGAGTCGTTCATGTCAGTAATTCCCCATAATCGGCTGTTTTCGTATTCTTGGCATTTGTTTTACAAGAGTCCAACGGACGTTCGGACATCCTGAACTGCCGCAACGTATCATTTAATGAGCAGTATCGCCGTTCTTCAGATGAGCCAGAAATATTTCCAGTGTGATGCGCGAAGAGAGAAAACGTTTTTATATAAAACATACATACTCACAAGAAGTGGTAAGATCATTTCGATAATAGTAATAGATATCCACAAATCACACTATCTGTACTGATCGTGATATTGTGCTGAGTATAAGATAGGAAATGAAAATTGACAGAGCTATTATTTCCATATTCTTTCTCTAGCATTCTCGAAACGGGATTTAGAACTTTGCCACAGTTTGACTCATAAATATTGAATTATCGAAAAAAGAAAGAAGACCTTTTCATCTACATTATCTCTTGTTTTATAATATTCAGTTTGCTCTAAATTCATGGCAGGTGTGTGATAAATTCAGTACTAATCTTCGATGTTAATATATCATTGATAAAAGCACATAAATAAAAAAAAAAACATATGTGTGACATAAAAGAACAGTTCGCAAAGACTAATCAGTCCGTTCTTAGTTGATTCGGTCCATGCTTTCTTCTCGTCAGTAATAACTAAAATAACAATATACGCTGGCATAATATCAAGCGCGAAGATTCGCTCACTTATCAACTCACCACTTGTTCCTTGACAATAAGGAATTACATATTCGTATTTCCAGCCGACGATATGGTAACGTTACGTTTTTTTTTATCTGTGATTCTTAACCGGTGACGCAAGGAGCGAACAGTGGGCTTTTGGAAATGTTTTTACAGTAAATCATTTTCTCATACGTGGCAAGAATATTTTCGTATACAAAAGCTAGCCGCGCAACGAATTCAAGGTCCTCCCTGTTCGAATTATTGCAGACACGGCTGTTAGACGACCAAAAGCATAACAGATAGGACCACAAAACAGGTCAAGATTTGTTAAACATTGTATGAATAGTCAATTCCAGCTCGACAGCACCTTTGCCTAAATGATTAATATAATATTAGATAGTGCTTTTAGTGTGTAGCAGTGGGTGAGGAAGGCAGCCTGCCTCGCTCCGAATCTAAACTCAGTTAATATTGAGAAGCAGGTATTTAATGATACTGAATCAATGTACTTGATAACTCGAATGCTAGCTGAGAATCTGACAAAATATTCCAAAATTTTTCTTGAGCCTTTAAAAGCCTGAGCTTTGAATGTCCATAATTATATAAAAAAAGACTAGATTAATTTAAAGTATAACGAAGGGGCCGACTTTCTGACCGTTATACTTGGTCTCGTAAGTAATAGCTTCGTCTTACATGTAAATCTCAGGTCAACAATACAGAGCTTCTGAAAGCGACGTAATATTCAGCCATTATCTTTTAGCTAAACCTGAAGAGCTAATAAAGAAAAAGCGGAAATTTGCGCAAAAAAGCTGAACTAATGACGTCCTGATATTCATTCACAGCGTACGTTTAGGCGAGAGCTATGTTGATCTCGGCGGCGTACTTACCAGATTCGCTTAAATGAGTTGACGACAAACGTGACTAGGCAGAGACGTGAGGTTACATACCAGTCACTTAGTTGCAAGTACTTGATGAAATGCATGAGGAATCGTACCAAGCTCGTATCGGGGAAAGTAAAGTAATATGATAGGATCGTTATGACGGAAATTTGGAGAGATACTTGACTGAATTAGTAATAGATCTATTCGGTCCACTTGTTTAATAACAGTACTAGGGAGGTAAAACTAATCTGGCATAAGAAGCTGGCATCTGTGTTTAGAAGAGACCTACATCTTTAGCCTATAGGTATGAATATTATTACAAATAAAAAAAATTATTTGATAAAAAACTTTTTACTTTAAATTGAAAATGGGAAATATGAGTGTGTGAGAAACTTAAAAAATTAATATAAGAATTGTAGAACTTGGAAATAGATTAGTGGTAAAGCTTTTGGCTGAATACCACCCGTACTAAAAAGCTTGTCTCTTTTATCTTGTAATGGGCGTGTGTTAATGTACTTTGGATTTTCCAATTAGTTGTTTAGTCACCAGAAATATGTAAGCTCTATGTAATTTATAACCGTAGAAGAACGTTGTTTGATTTTCAAATAACATCTACTAATATCCTTTTCGGAAATTGAAGTTGAATAGATAAAAATAAATTGTGTTCCGATGGACGATTTTCACCATTAACCCTCTCCGCTAAAACGATGTTGACAAACTGAGCAGACGACACCATCAATTGTTTTTCATACATGAAAATAGAACATTGGCGTCGCATGTGCCTGTTCTCAAAATCACCGCGCGGATAAAAGACGTTTTATAATAAGTTAAGTGTTGTAATCTGTTCTGGTCGCTAGTTATCAAGGGTAACTCGAGATGCTTCGCACGGTACGGCAATTATCCAAGCAACCTCCTGCTCTTACGCGAGGCCTCCGCGGGCTCATACCGGAGCTCGCACCCACTTTAGAACAGCGGATGGAAAGTTAGTGAAATACGAGTGCTTAATAAATGTACATACAAGAGGGAAATCTTTATACTGATGACGAAAACGCTTGCCTTAGTGTATTATTTAAATTTCTACTGATTTAGATTTCTAGTTAATAGTCTCGTGTAAATGTTTCGTTATGATCTACCATGGTCAGCAACTCGATCTCTGTATTGGATTTTGTTGCATTCAGTTTCAAACAATAAACAGATTTTGTAAGCCGATCTATCTATATAACATCTTTTGAGATGGTTTCATTACATTTGTACAGAGAGCAATTTTCCTATTGAAGGTTCCGTTTCTGGCTTTTAGATGCATACGATACAGGTGCTTGAAATACATCTGTTGCTTTACCTGTTCTGAAGTCTTCGCTGTCACGAAGTATATCTTATTGCTGGAGTTTAAACATAGGTCCATAAGTTTTTCAGCAAGAAGCTTAGGCATCAAAGCCACCGCGCCGATAAACTCTTGAATAATTTTTTGACTATGTCTAAGTAAACTTAAATTTACAAATGCAATTAAAGAAGTGAAAACTTTTTTCTCCAAGTTTAAGACCCCATAATACTAATACGCCCTTTCTACCTCAACAAACATCCTTTGATCGAGACTCATATGTGCTATCCTACGCAATAGCTGCATCACACAACACAACGAGATATCTAATTAGTTGACTTAGAATAAATGACCGAACAGACTTACGATCCATTTTCCAGTGCTAAACCCGTGGAATCAGGAGCTGCATGCCAGAGTCAATATTGGTTTTTACGAGAGGTGGAAGACTCCTCAATCGAAAAAACTCGCAAAGCAACGGCTCGCACAGTGGAAGATCTTGAAAAGGAATCACGAACGAATGGCGCTCGCCAAAAGTGGAAAACGTTGGTATAACCGCAGTTATACAAGCATAGACACTGGTCGATAATTATCAAAGAGCTCTTAATACTCAATGTATAAACACTAATATTCTATGTGGGTTTGAGGCTGCAAAAGTTCGGCTTAGCCAATTGCAATTCAGCTTCGGCAGATTCCACCCTGGCAGTTTACTGAATACCCCTAGGTATATAAAACAACTGAAAATTGGCGTTTTTATTTTCGCCGGCTAATATCTGACTATTATATTATGATACACCTGCTTTTTTTCGGCGATACGCCTTCTTTGTTTTCACTTCAAGTAACGCAGACCTACAGAATAAATTACAGCTTGGTTTCAGGATAGCGGTAAAATCAACAGTAATGTTCTACTAATGTTTTTGTTTTTCAGTGCTACTAGACTATGATAAGCAAAAAGAAATCTGGGCAGAAGGCAATTTCCGTACTCATATTAAATTAGCCGCGGACCACTACAAAATATTTCATGATCTCTACGAGTACGGCTACTTCTTCCCAACCACAGTTCTCAATGTATGTGCTGCTGTTATTATAACAGAAGATAAGTATATTATTTTCTATTATGTAAACAAGTAGACTTTTTCCAACAAAATTTTGTACTGGAGTATTATATGTTCCATAGGAAATTTAGTCGATAGGATTAATCATCTCTATTTGTTTTCTGCAGGTGCGTTATCCATTAAACGAAGAAGAGTTCGCGCCGGTCTACATGGGTAATATCATGTCCGCATCGGATACAGCGTCAGTGCCTGAGGTGGCATATGCTGCCGAAGAAGGCGAGCTCTTTACCCTGGTCATGACTTCGCTTGATTCGCACCTCGAAGTGCCACAAAACGAGTATCTCCACTGGCTGTTGTGAGTTGAGCAATCTTTGTACATTTGAATCATTCTGCTATTTTATATATATATATACGTCCTTTTTCGTTCCAGGTCTCTCGTTTGGGGGCCTTTGGAATTTGTAAGTATCTCTGGCTAGGAGCACCTTCTACATTGAACGCATGTACTCGAGATAATAATTTACTGTTAAGCTTTTTTAATCATATTGAGGTGGTGTAAAATTGAGAGAAGACTATGGTATGTGGCTATGACAGGCTATCAGCGAGTAATGAAATATAACTGAAATACATATTCAAGAAAGACTCATATTTGTCTGGATTCAGAGGAATAACTTTTGTACCCCGATATGCGTATGGTAGAACTAATATTCCAGGTAACGATATTTCGAAAGGAACATCTATCTGTGACTACATGCGCCCATTCGTGCCGAAGGGCGCTGGTTATCATCGTTTCGTATTTGTACTTTACAAGCATATGAAGGGAGAAATCGATCTGAGCGATGAAAAGCGCACACCGAAAACGTAGGTAGAAGCACATTGCAGTCTTTGACATCGGCCCCGATAGAAAGATACGACTGGGCGCTTACTTTTGTGAAAATGTATGTAATAATTGACGAAATTATATCTTAATAATATCTTTCTAATCACTATATGGTAAAATATCGTTATATAACAATACTGTGAACGTGTTACCATAATATACTTGGTTGTGCCATAATATGCTGTGTTTTTCTGTAGAGCTTCGTTACGTGAGCGCACCTTCCGTACACTTGATTTCTACCGAAAATATCAGGATACCCTGACACCATGCGCCATTTCGTTCTTTCAATGCAAGTGGGACGATTCACTCATGGATTTCTTCCACAACATACTCGGTTCGGAACATTTGTCATACCCAGGCATCTGTTGTTGGCTGGGAGCAATTTTACTGATGTAGGCTTTTAATTATAAAATGGCTATATAGAGAGAAACAAATTTCAAGAAGCTCATAGGGCGTAGAAGCGACTCTTATTCGTATATTCAATTTACGATGCAAACTTGCTGTTGCACTTCATGCACAGCGACTGATCGAAATGTGATTAATGTTAATTCGACTGGTCTATGTAGAGGAAGATTGCTACTGCCATGAAAAGATTAATTATTGAAAACAATAGGTACCGTGTAAATGACTAACATGTGAAATATTTTGCTTTGCGATGTAGAAATGAAAGTTCCAGTGTTTGAGCATATACCTTTGGATAAAGATAAACTTCGCTTTAAAAAATGGCCCGAAGGAGAGTCATTTAACGAGTACATTGACCTCTTCCGAGATGAGAAGGAGATCGCCGAAGAAGTCTATTGCAAAAGACTCAAAGCACTCAACCCTTTCCAGGTACCATACCCTGCCATTAGTATCATCAAACCTGCGCACTAGTAGTTTTAATGTTGCCAATGTCGTACGGCTAATTATTAGGTATAAGAAGAGAAAACTTTCCTTGCTCGTTAAGACTCATATCCTCAATCACGGTTGAATCGGGTAATATGGCAATTTTTCGTTTGTATTAATAGAGAGGGACGATGCGCAGGAATTAATATATTCAAGGCAAGATCATATAATACATGTATTAACCTATGAATATATTGATGGTGTTAAATTCCAGTGAATACCAAGATTGGCATAATTTAAATATGTTCGTAGCGTTCTTATGCAACATACGGTGAGCACCGCATTTCATCTGATACTAAATTCAATATATATTGTAATTTCTAGGAAGAATCGAGTGGCCTGAAATTCCCACATGCTCACGCGTTTCCACAGGGTACACCATCGTGGTACCGAACAGAAATTAGCCGTGAACGTTCCAAGATGGGCAAGTATCGGCATCTGAGGCGATTCTCACTTTACGAAGGATCCGAAGAGGTTAACGTTAAACCGTACGACAGATACGGCCCTCTAGAGGAATAGACGAAGCTGTAATTTTGATTAAGTGCAGCATACTGAATTGTTTAGTCGTAGGGAGAAAGGCGCTTTTTGGCTAATGACGATCGTTGCTAGTTACGGAGAAATAGAAGTGGATAAGGAAAGAGGCATAATAGAGTCTAGTAACTTTCAGTCAATAAAGAAAATAGAACAATATCATCGTTTTTAGAAACATTCGTTTTCATAACTTTAACTTATCTAGAAAAGAGTATCATTACGGTGGAACCAGACACTTCTGGTTAGAGCCTCGTGGCAACTGCAAATGTCACTAGACATGAAATGTCAGTAAGTAATGTCAGTAGGTATATATATGTACTACGGATCCGAGGTAATAAAGGTGTTGGCACAATAAATCATCACGCATTTTCATAAAATATTATACTTCAAAATTTATACAAATATCTATAAAATTAATAATACTAATAATAATAATAATAATTATGAGTGCACTTTTCTCTGATTAACCTTAAGTGTTGCCAAAGAGATCCTCATATCAAGTATATAAGTGTACAAAGTTTATAGTATTTTGACACCGTTAATGGCAAATACGCGTCGAGTCAATATTTCCTTCATGCCTTCGACCTTATATTGACAGCAAAAGGTGAAAATGAGAAGCGATAGATGAAGTATACATTTGAACTCTTTTTCTTTTAAAAGATGCATTCTTTAATCTTAGGTGATTGACTTACTGTAAAAATACTGGTTTTGTGACAGAGTTTCCTCATTTGGCAACAATGATTCGTTATGGAGAAATATTTGCAAACGCATCTAGCAGTTTTCTACATTGAAGTCGCGTGCATTAATTCATTGCTCTTTACAAAATTAATTTCCAATTCAGTCACGGTTGCTGATAGTTGGCCAATAACAATTCTGTCGTATTGTAAACAACGCACGCAATATATAAGTAGGTCATGGTAGTTGTCCGTTATTTATATGCCGTTGCCTGCATGTTCATTTTTAAACTGGTCGGGCATAAGCTTCCATTCATCTCTGGTTATTTTTATCGTGGACTAGTAATATAAAAGATGTTTTCAGCACTTGTAAACAAACTAATTTTGGCATCAAAACAAATCCTCCATTGTAAATATAGTGGACTTCTGCAGCGCGTAGCAAATATTCAGTTGTGGTGAGTAATCGTATTAGATTAATTCTTTCTGTCAAAAAGTCAATAATCCAATGACAGTAAATAACTTGAGAACACTTCTGGATTACAATGTCAGTGTTTGACGATTTCAGAACGTGAGATGTCGATGTCGACTTCCAAGAGTTACCCGTCCAATTAACTTACCTCAAGCATTATTAAAACACTCTAATGGGCCACAGATTGCTGAGTCATTTGTGGTTGTAGACGTGCTTTTGGAATTTCCTCTTACAGTTTATTTGTTTAACCAGCTCAATATAATTGCGCTCTGTTTACCGGGATAATTCTCGTTCTTCCTAATTGGCAAGTTCTTCTAACAGTTGTTCTAAACTATATCTAATGTAGGATCTAATCATTTTTTTAAACTGAAAGATGTCCGCAGCAAAAACGTTTTGCTTATTACATGTTAAGTAACAGACCTCTTTTATATAAAGTTTTAGTTGTGCATATTTCACTTTAGCCTCTCTACCGCCACTAACTAGCCGCCCCCCAGTTTTATTTCCACTGTTGTCCTCATTCTAATTTGATTGCCAACGCGTAAGGATTTGTCGATAAAGATCGATGAAATCGGTAGGTATCAGACACCCCTATAACTTGCAAACACCAGTCTCATTTCACTACTGCGCGGAATGATGAGCATCGTCTGTTCCGTTCATTAACGTCCTTGAAGGGCGAGGACATCCCGAAAGTGGGCATAGCAGCGTGTGCGCTTAGATAATAAGGCGCAAACTGACTGTTAACCTAGCTTTAACCCAAATCCCCTTTCTGTGTCTGGAATAGATGCGATTGCCGTGCGCCGTGTGGCTAGCGACGACGAGATACGTAAGAAATAGCAAGAAAATTCTCTGTTAAACTGTACCTGCGACGAGCCCAAAGGGAAAAGGGGCCCTAGGCGCCTGTTACACACTATGCGTTTTCCAGGTAGTCATCACGAATAACCAGAGCTATCAGTCTCTTCGTCGTGGTAAGACGTTCTAGGCTAACATCTGCTAGCAACACCGCAACAAAGAAAAATTTGGGATAAAGAGAAAATTGTAACAGCTATCGTCAATGATGGCAATGGCGTTCTAATTACGAAAAGAAAGTTCTACGAAAAAAGTTCAGCTGGACAAAAGTTTTTCAGGTAGGGGAATAACGGACGAAGTAACAAAGAAAATAACGGATTAAATGCCATTTGTTGTGACGGCTGAAAGGTGAAAAACCGATTTTTGTTAGGTATTGCAAAATTATCTATTGTTGTATGAAATTGTGGAGATAATGGGTTCTTAGCAGCAGAAAATTATAATGAAGCATGTTACGCGAAAAGATTACGTAGCATTGTGAATAAATATTCGGCAGAATGTAAAATAATGCAAGTAGTCAAAAGTCAGTAGAGTAGAAAAGGTATGGGTGCCGATTTCTTACAATGATTAACTTAGTAGAAATGTAAATAATGGTAAATATTGCCTTTGTTGACGTCAACGAGCATATACTATCGTCGTGTGAAAAAATTCAAAGTAAATCTACCTCCAAAAAACAACTGGGCGGATTAGCTAGAGATTAAGTTGAGAGAACCATATGTGGGTACTACACAGAAAAACTAGATTTGGGCATTAATCAGTCAGAGGAGTCTTATTAACCTAACTATTCGAAACCAATCGCAATCACCACTTAGTCAAACAGAGTAAAAATTGCTGCCATTCTAAATAAACGTCATAAGGCATATTGCAATAACTGTGTGTATTTATAGTATATTGGCAATAGACAGCTGAACGTGAACACGTAAAGGTATGTATACACCGATTTACTTAATTATAAAATGACTAACCAGTGTATCGCTGTTTCGTGACCTCTTTTGCAATTTGTTCCCTAGGCGCTCATGTAGATCAGCCATTAGGCGTCACTTAAGCTGACGAGTGCGTTCCTTGATGCAGTACCATAAACGGTAATCACCACGTTCAACTTTAGTACCGGCAAAAGAAATCTGAATCGGTATTACTAAGAGAGCTCAAGGTGATAATGCTGAAAAGCGTTTTGTTAAATTTGAGAGGAATTCTGTTACACACGTTGCCTCGGCCATTTAATCGTCAGTACGATAAATTTACCATTTCAACTAAGAGAAGCATTGATTGATGACTACCGACTCAGATTTAGTACTTTTGTCTGGCTATAAAATTGCGTATGTGTAATCTATATGGACAGGGCAAATGTTTCTTTTTTCCATAGTCTTCCAATAGTGTAATCATGTTTGCGGTATAAATATGCTTTTAGGCAATATTTAAAATCACACGCGTCGCGTATGCATGAAAACCACAGTACAACCAATGGCCAATCATCAGTCTGATTCAGTTTGTGCGTTTATTCGGTTGCAGGCATTTGCGATGAGTGGCACAAAGGCTAGTCCGAGCAGTTTTGTGGTCTCGATCTCACCACGGAGTGGCGAAGACGTCTCGACCGTGCTCTCAAGCTTGTTTGAAAATGCGACAACGATACCTACCATGAATGCTCCATCGGGAACGTTCGCGGAAGTGTACGAAAAGCTCTTACCAGTTTTGTTACAGTGTTTCGTCATCGTAACGCTGGGATATGTTTCGGGTCGTAGTCGGCTCGTGCCACAATCGGAGACTAAGGGTCTTCAGATGACGGTGTCATACTTCTTTCTGCCAGCGCTGGTGTTCCGCTCATTGGCGACCATCGATCTATATATGGTTAACCTGAAGTTCTTAGCGTCCATTTTTATCGGAAAAATGATCATCTTTGTATCAACGGGTCTGCTCACATGGTTGCTCAAGCGCGAGAATCGAGCGAGCTTTGCGGGCCTATTTGCAATTTTCTGCAGTCAGTCAAATGATTTTGCTCTAGGCTATCCTCTCGTAAGTTATCTGTACGAGAAGGACCACCCTGAGTTTTCCCATTACCTTTACCTAATTGCGCCAATTCAGCTAATGATCTTAAATCCAATTGGCTTCATTCTTATGGAGTACGGCCGTATTTCAAATGATCAACGGCCAGTGCAGTGTCAACCGAGACCTTCATCTCATCTTCGAAGAACGATGATGGGTGTCCTCAAGAACCCAATCATTGTAATGACTGCTGCGGGTATTGCGGCCAATTTTGCGTTTCAACGAAAGCTACCTCTCGTGATCGCAACTATTGTGGAGCCCCTTGGTGCCGGATTTACGGCGTGCGCTCTGTTTCTACTTGGACAGAACATGGTGGGCGGGTTTGATACTATGTGTAAGTACACCCTTCTAATAACGACGTTGCTAGTCTGTGTTAAAGTACTAGCTGCGCCTATTATTATTCGAGAGGTGATATCGCATATCGGCATTCCGGACAACGCGTACACGGATTTCGGCTTTCTGTATGGCATGTTGCCACCGGCTCCAACCGTGGCGATATTCGCGACTCAGTTTTGCCTGCCTAAGGACGCGGTGTCAGCTGGTGTGGTCTTGGGCACGTTCGTCTCAGCGCCACTAATATTCATTACGGCCACAATGAGTAAGATTAGTGATAATCCCTCGTATCAACAAACACTGAGCACGGCCATATCATGCACGAGCCTTGTGGCGCTCCCATTTTGTCTGTGGACCATGTTTGTACTACTGCCGAAGCGTAAACGTGTGACACATTCATCGACAATGTGGCTTTTGGCGGCGCAGACTTTCACTTCACTCGGAGGTTTGATGCTGTTTTGGATGAGCGAAGATAGAAATGTGCTCTTTCACATACATACCGCGGTGTCGATGAGTGGTATCTTCGCTAGTCGTATCTGGACTGCGGTTATCGCAGTTGTTCTCATGCTATCTCACCAGCGTAGCCTATGTTACGTGTTGAAAATCCGAAGCACTCTAATCTTTGCAGGTTTTGCGGCATCGCTGATAGGAACCCTCATATTAATTGCGGGGATTCCGTTCGGTAGCCACCAGCCCCTCGTCCACGACCCGAACTTCCATTTGGGCAGACTTCAGGCCGCTGTGGCTCTAATAGTTCTCTTGGTATCCTTCCTATTAAGTCTGTACGGCCTGGTACGCCAGCAGAGGTTCCGGTCGCGTGACGAATATAGGCCAATACTCTTCCCTGACGATGGAGAGAACAACAGCACAACAACCGTGAGAAACCTTTCGCCATCATCCGGCAAACTACCACGAGTGTCATCGCTCAGCGCTTCGACAAACGCTCTTCGAACATCGACAAACTTGTGCGCCAATTGTTTATGCTTAAAAGACAGCAAGCAACCGAACAGCGGTCAAGATCTGGTACTCGACTTAGAAGACATCGGGAAGCCAAAGTTTATCAAACGAAAGGTGCCCCGCGTACGCCGTCTCAGCGAGAAGCAGGCAGGTGCAAATGGAGAAATAATATCGGAAGAGCTAATTGCATCAGGCAGTAGGTTCAATCCATTACACTGTGGACCCACCTACCACTGTACAGTTATTGAACGTAAAGCATGCGTGTCGACAGTGAAAGCGTATCTCAACCAGGTCTATAAGGGAGAGGAAGTTACCGAGCCCGAGGTTGATCTTCATCAATCATTCAGACACGTATGTCTCCTAATAATGTTGCTGTTTTCGATGCTTATTGGTATTGCAGTATGTCTTTGGCAGCTTCTGATCGAAAGGCCTAGCGGGATACTGCTAGAGCTCGAATTTCTCGACATTGTTTTTAACTATGGCCAAGGCATTCTGACGTTCATCGTATTTGGCGCAGACGCCTCCTGCGTCCTGTTTCCGTTCCTTGGCATTCTCGATGTTTTCTTTTGTCGAGGTGTCGATCTACCGGCATTCTGTGAACTTTCTGTTGAAGTCAAACAACAGTGCGAACAATTCCGCATCTATCATATGGACATCTGTGCGAGTGATATCTGTCCCGATATAGACGTCGAGAGCGTGGTGTTTTCCGGACAGCAGATGTGCGACTGGTTGTGCCTTGTCGGGCTGGCGCGCACTCGAGACGATGCTGTTTCATACGGGCGAGCGTTGCTTGAAGGTCGTACAATCGCGCACGTCGCGAACGCGAAACACTTTGAAGACGATGTGCACATGTACCGTTTTATTAGTTACCCGCCCTGCGCGGCTATGGTAATTAATTCTTAGAGGGTTGACCCTGTTGTCCGAGATTTTCCCAACTTTTCGGCGACTCAAATCGAACCTAACGCGATACTCAATACCCTTTGTGACGAAAAATGTCGCTGTTCAATATCAGTGCAATTATGTGCGTAAGATTGCGTCAAAAGGGAAATCCGCTAAAGATGGATAATCGAAAGGCCAAAGTCTGAAACACGGAAGCTATTAACTTAAATTAAAAATGGACAGTCGCGAAGTTCAACAAAGAACAAACTATGTTTTCAACTGTTGGACTCGAGCTTAGCGTTGACCTGTCTATTGAACCATCCACGAGTAAATGAAAGATCTGACTTATCATTAGTACTATTAATTAAATATATATGTCCGCACTTCGAACATATTCGAAATGAGTGACAACGTGACTGACAGTGAGAAAGTGTAAATATTATGTGTATAATGTAAATTAAGTGCTTAGTAAATGTTGTGATCTAAAACAGACAAGTGGAGTGCTCGTTTTTCTCAAAAAGATTTATGCAGCTAAAATAAATAAGCGTCTAAAATAGTGATTTTTGCCTTGATATAAGAAGTCCAATTATGTTTCCGTTTAACGACAAGTATGAGTTATAACTGGGGTAAAAGGGACCATTTAAAAACAATATTAAGTTAGGCTATCATAAATATGTACCTAATACAAAACGAAAAATAATTGACACGATTATAAAATTCCCGAAATAAGATAAACGGTTCGAAGGTTTCATCTTGAATATGCAAGTTAGCAATGCGCTGACTACAATAGAGCCACGATATCGGCACGATGATCTAACAAAAAACAACTGAATGTGTCGAAATTGTTTTTGCAGTTGTTCGAGTCGCATAAGCGTCTACAGGAAGATAGTTCAAGTTGTCAATTCTTTCATTATCACTATTGTTTGTAGTAGGTGAAAAGTATTGACTACGAAGTTAGAAAGTTGCCTAAGCAGTATATTCACTATAACAGATGCCCTTTCTGAATACTTTTAAAATAAGTTCAGTCTAGAGATTAGTAACACATACCTTTTTTGTATAATGTTCATGTGTAGATGTAGTGATATATGTAAAAAAAAACTACACACACAAAATAAAAGTCTTTGGCAGCGGTGGGATTCGAACCCACGCCCCCGAAGAGACTGGTGCCTTAAACCAGCGCCTTAGACCGCTCGGCCACGCTACCGTTGGGAAGTGCACCGCTACAATCAATTTTTACCGACGGAGGTGGACTACTACAATTATAATCATTATTTTGTAACTCATTACATCGAAATTTTAAAATGTTTTAACAAATAAATCGTTATCGGTGGCCCTGAGCTCACCTGCTTCATGGGTGCGTTTTCCTACATCTCTGGCTCAGATAATTAGTGCAGAGCGAATTAGCCAATACAATATCGGCTTTCTGTAATCTATTATTCAGATTGTATTAACATGACAGTCTTTAATATTTAGAATTAACAAAGCGAACGTTTCGCAGAAACGTCGCAGTCGATATGTGCTATTAAATAAAAATCAAAAAATTGATAGCAGAGCGTGGTTTCGATCCACGGACCTCTGGGTTATGGGCCCAGCACGCTTCCACTGCGCCACTCTGCTACTGTGCGAAATACGAGTAAAAGCAAGTTACCTCAGTGCAACGAGGTTCACCTGATCGTAGTTCATCTGAAACAAATCGAACGAGCGATGAAATGTTCTGAAACAAAAACCATCTGCTATAACAAAGCGTTTGGAACTATACATATATGTATAGCATTACTGTCATTTCTATTAATGCTCTTTTAAAGCTCGGCAACTGCTGCTGGTACAGCTAAATCGGACATATAGTTGTCCAATACTAACACGGCAAATACAAACTGAACTAATGCTAAGCCGAACTGAGCAATAAATTGTGCACAAACTACAAGACATAGAGGGAATCTTGTTTTTCCGACAAGAGTACGCTGTTCGTATAAACTATTTGACTTCATGTGTACTTCGCAGTTGTGAACGGTGCAGATTATCTATACTTCGAAAGGAACATTTCACCAAAAGGTACATGAATAGCTTTTTCGAATAATGGCATCGTTCTAAAGCGGTTGTAAATTTCCATTGTACTGTCTACAATCAATTTCCTTGGTAGTGCACATTTTACTTCCGGTAAAAAATATTTTTCTGTTTAGTAAAGCTCTGCAGCATGTTTTGGAACTATATATATATCTCCCTTTTTTGTCTATTTGCTCTGTTAACCTACTACTGCCGCTCTGTCCAGATAATGAAACTTGTTTTTGAGCCTGGGCTTCAATTGTGTATATCAGTTTCAGATATTTACCTAAACAAGAAATATATACTAAACGTCGAGGGACAAGAACGGACATAAGTCAATAAATACATCGCGTACAACATTAGGGGTTGGCTAAAAATACAATGGTAAGAAATAGTGGGATCCACGTTTGTCCATGTTCGTCCTTAGCTCCTGGTTGGTTAATTCAGCAGACGATGGAAATTGACAGAATCTCACTACTTCCTAAGTGCAAGTAATGCGGCAAGTTTGAATGATGAGTTTCGGAAACCGATTCAAAACAGCAAATAAAGTTATTTTCTCGTTTGGACATGATATTATTTTAAAAAATAACTAGTAATAATTCTATAATTTTAGCGGACCTTAAATTTCCTACGAATATGAAATATTCGCTTTTTTAACTGGAATAATCGGTAAAAAACGATTGTCCAAATCTATCTAAAGTCACTTTGGTGTGATGATTCTCAATCAATTTTTAGCGATTGTGTGCCTTCTTTAGCATTGTAGGTTTACTGCATTGACTCTAGTTACATTTTCCAGTCCACCATAGCAAATGCAGCTTTCAGTAATGTAGACGTTTCTGGGACTTGTAATGCTTTGTTGCCATATTGATATCTCACAAATGTATAATCTATTGTTTGCTACCGTAGGGTTTTGTGTGGAGTCTTATATTATGAAAAAGCTCTAAGATTTGCTAAGAAGGGTACAATCAGTGCTGTTCCGATGGAGAAGCTCGTCTTTCTACAAAGGGCCCTTCTGCAAAACGTCCTTTGCAAAAAGGAACGATAATCTTTGGACTTTCAAACAATGATGCGCTAGTCCTAAATAAACTAAAGAAGCTTTTAAATCTGACAGATGTTTCAGTGTGCCCTTGATTCGTCAGTCCAAAAGCGTAATAGGGTGTTCTATAAAGGCAGCAAAATTCTGCGCCACAGGTGGCTGACTATTTTTTCTATTAATTGTTCTAATAATTCTAATGATCTGCAGCTACTACGGTAGGTTCAGCTGATCGAACTGCCGGAGTTATAAGATGACTATTATATCTCGATATGACTGCAGTCCCTCTTGAAACGTAGTTTAGTACATGCCAGCCAAATTCATGTAAGTGTCACGCAGACTGAATTAGAAGCACCGTTTGACGTGTTTTTATACTGATAGACACACACTAAATATTGACTAAGATGTAAAATTGTCTCTAAAAATGATAAAAAATTGTTAGCTTGGGCCGATATGCCTTTACAGCTATCTAGATGTCCTATAATGAATATGTTTTTATTTATGCAATTACTACTCAAACTGACAAAGTTCCCCACATAGGAAAGTAGAAAAAACTTGATACAATGCATATTCGGTGTACAGGTTTTCCGTTGCCAATCGCACTTCAACGTGACCGTTTTATAGGCCCGTGCCTGCAAAGTTCCAATGTGAGAGAGAGAGAGAGAGAGAGAGAGAGAGAGAGAGATGATTAGTACTTGATAATATGCGAGTTGCGTCCATTTAATCGAATCGTCCATATAAATTATTGACTTGAGTTTTTTTATGGCAAAGATATGACTAAGGGGTGTAGGAAAGTAGATACCCATTTTGGTCCACCTAGGACACAAAGACTCCTCGATTTAGATCTCTAGCGCCGGCGCGCAAATCCGCCTACGCGATTGTCCCAAATGTTGATTATAATATCAGCTAGGTATTGCTTCGTAATTGGTGGCCTTTCTTTACTTATTATACCACCTGCTGCCACGCTAGCTGGCCAACATACCCTAAGTCTGCTTCGATCTGAGCTAGAAATTAGTCAGACCTGCGCTCCAGCTGATTGCTACTTTCATATTTGACTACATATAATAGGATGGTTTCGTTTTCCTTTCGCTATCTGCACTATGATAAGAACTGTTCGTTGTTAAGGCCTGCACATATTGCATAAATTACACTATAGCCATTGCAAAAATATTTTATGAATTATCCATTAGACTCGATTCGATAGGCTAATTTCGAAATGCTTTTTGTTATTGTTTTAATGAAATAAGTACTTGTACGAAAAATTTAATTTGTCAACACATGAATGCAGACAGCTGGCAAAATGTTTTTCCGTTAATATGGCGAGACTCGTTGCATTGAGGTCGCATTATGTTTTTGCAATTTGTGTTAAGCAGGACTTCAGTTGAGATCCAAAAGGGAAGCTTAGGTAGAGGGACAAAAATGTAGGACGTTTCGATGCATTTCGAATTTTAATACTTATCAAATCATACGAGGCGTATTTAATACAAATGCTCTGATAATATGCGAATGTTTTGTTCCGTAAGGAGCAACCATTTTTTTAATACGTTACTTACATGATCAGCTGAATTGGCTTAAATAGGAAGTTCAGTTAGCTTTTCGATGTGTGGAAAGAATGATAGGTTCTAGCTCTACGTTGAATTTCTAATCTAGCGTGTGTTAATCTATTCCATAGCAATAATAAGAGCAAAAATGTTCTTACTGTGAAAGCCCAATTGTCCTGTGTATTAATTTGGGACACGGTCGACGTCCACACAGTATCAATGACATTACAGGACGGCAGATTATTGGCTAGCCCCAAGGTATTGAAATGGTAAGATATACCTCATTGTAAGTGGTAGATACCCCAGCAATTGGAAATGAAGTAAGGTAAAAAGAAAACGTTATCCATCGCTAGCCAGGTTCGTTGTTGTTGGCCGTGTTGTCGCCTCCCTAATCCCCGTTATTCTTTAAGTAAAGGTTAAACTACAGGTTCGGATAGCGTCTGCAATCGTCTCACGTATTTGCCTACCAGCAAAATCATTCAATACGTATCGTGGGCTTAGTGTCACGCTAAATAAAGCCAAGGGTCGTTTGTTGGTCCGTCCATCCCTCCGTGTAAACGCGAAACATAGGTTCTCAGAGAAGCGTTGTATGTGACACGAACAAAATTGAGTTGTCGAAAGCATCTGGAGGACCCGTAGCAAACGGGCACGTAAAAGCACAGAAAACCTTTCTATTCCGACGCAGACGGGACTGCTGCTGTGGACAGGAACAGCGTTCGAATCACATAATTCCTATTTTTATTACTAAAGTATGTTTCCACAGTGTATGTTCTCAGACCGTTACCTTACAGCTGCTTCAGCTGCCCAGTAAGAGCATAAGAAGGAAGTAATAATGGCAATGTTTTAACAGCGGGCACGCAGATACAGGCAGGTAATGGAGAGCCCGCTCGAACTTACCATCAGTATAGTTCTCAGCTTGCGCAGGCGCTGTTACTCTTTTTGGATGGGCAAAATGCGATTAATACTGCAGTTGGGTGATGGGGGCGATGCGATGAGACACTAGCATTGCGTTAAGTTCTAAACTAAAGAAGCGAGTTCAGTTGAACATGAAAGCAGTCAGCAAGACACAGCTGCCTTCTGCCTAAATTCTGATATCCGATGCTGCGAAGTCGAAGTACAATTGTGATAAGAGTTGGGTTGTTGCTATACCTTTGAGATGCCATTCACGCCTCGGCGAATGATTTGGTTCTGTAGAACCATCTTAATTACGCTTTGGCACATTTAACAAAAATGCATACTGCGTTGTACTTCGATAGTAGGACTTGTACCTCGTTGCTTTGATATGTTAATGATTATCTGGCGGTCCGTTTACCAACGGTTTGTCTAAATTCACTAAGTATTGACTTCGAAAATGTTTTCGAAAGTCTGAGAAAGGTTAGGCTTCTTTTTAGTCATCACTGTTTTGTAAGTACAATCAAGTTGATATTGGAACCAGTCCAAGAAAACTAAAAGATAAAGTTCAAGCTGCTTGTGCTAGACACATAACAGAGCTAAAGGCGAAATTAAAACCTGAATTATAATAGTTTCGAGCATTTTGCGTAATTAATAATATCTTATGTAGCAAAAAAATATCACCTTAGGTAGATCAAATAAAAGTCTACGTATAGGGTAACTC